GTCCACTGTAATATTATTATTATTAATAATAATATTATTATTATTAATAATAATAATAATATTATTATTAATAATATTAATATTATTAATAATAATAATAATAATAATTATTATTATACAGCACCGTATAGCCCTTGTGGCTTAGTGCTTCTTTTTGATTATAATAATAATTTATTATTATTATTATTATTATAAAAAGCACTAAACCCACAAGGGTCGTGAATTGCTATACATAGAGTAAAGGCATACGAAAATAATATTTTTCTACAGTTACCCCCCAGTGTTTGACTAGAGAAAACGTAATTCTTCCGACACCATCTACACAGCTGCTTTGTAAACAAATCTCATATTTACATCAGTTTTTATTCTGAGTGTATGTATCATATTTATATGCTATGTAATGGGTTTCATATATAATTTTGAGGAAAATATCATAGATGGATTAATGAAAATGCCTATATTGATATAAAATAAGACATTTAGTGTGCCCAAGAGTGATTATTATTACATAGTATTGGCGTCATGAGTAGAGAGAGACTTAGCGATTTTAATGTGTACCTGCACACCAGCACAGTGTGTAAGTTATTTAGGTACAGGTACACATAAGTATAATTATCAGAGTACATATAAAATATGCAGTAACTTTAAAACACTTGAAATTTTGGAAAGTTTCCTGACATAATAGATGTGGTCACGGAAAATGTAAACAAACTGGGTGGGGGGCGCCGTATTTAAAAGACCGCTTACCGTATAGCAAATTTTGGTCATAATTTGACATCGCCGTATTAGCGGAACACCGTAAGGCGAAACGCCATAAAGCAGGGCCTTACTGTATTGGCAGATAGAATAAGCATTAGTCTTGATACTATAGCCCCTTCCTGAATAATTATGAGCTAGTCTTTGCATCTTTTGTGGTTGCCAATCATTGTAGCAGTGGCGTTCTTAACCCTTAAACTGTCCAAATGTACATCTACATTTGCACACGTAGCACTCCGGCCTCGATTTTCTCCCTAAGAAGGAATGTAAAAAAAAAAAAAACATAGATCTACGTTCGAAGCGCTTCACGAGCGAACGTAGATCTACAGTTGGACAGTTAGAGGGTTAATAATGATCTTATCTTAACATGAGGTTGGTTGATTTTTTTTATAAGGATTGTCATCCTGTAGTAATCAGGTAATCATTATTTTGAGTATTTGTCTCCTCACAGTGAATACTGCATTTCATTGCATCTTTATCTTGTGACACTGCTTTTTTCTGATCAACTAGGCTGATTTCTGATCACCTACCACCCACCTATGTGCTGCTGCAGGGTCCTCAATCAAGTCGCTTTTTTTTGTCTGTCAGTTTTGATAACTGCATTGTTCTGTTCATGGGCTTGATTAGTGATTAATGCAGAGAGAATTCTGAGTTTTGCAGAAACAGCCTATTAAACACTAGCTGCTTTTGGATGTTATAGATGGATAAAATTCCATTTACCTAGGTGAATCTGAAGCTACTACTCGGCTCTTTGCTGTTAGCAGGTATCAGTTTAGACTGCTTTACAATCCAGTCCTACATTTTGCTCTAGATGAATAGATTAGTCAGTAAGGTCAGCTTCTTAGTGAATACAAGATCTCAAACACAAGATTGTTGACCTTAGTCTTCATTTCTCTCCTCTCCAAAGCTGAAGGCACTACCAAGCTACCTAATGCATCTGTGCTATAGTTGGTGAATGATGCTGTTTTCATCAGCTTGTATGGTCTATGTTCTATGATTTGATGCACTTATTAAGTGTTTTAACTCTTGAAGGTGACATTCATTGTCTTAAGTGTTGTTCTTAATGATTAGCCCTGTCTATACTCTGGCCACAGCCATTGAATCTGCTTGGCAGTTGCATAATAGCTGGTCAGCATTTATAGTGGCATGGCCATGCTTGGATCACAGTTTGAAAGAAAGCCCTAAAATACCTATTATCTGCTTCACTATTAGGTGTTTATCAAATATGAGGAGCATGTCTTCTGTCACGGTGTGCTTATAGTCATGGAAATGCACTAGGAGTCGGATTTTTTCCTTGATGTATTATAGTACTTCATCCATACCAAACTCGTATGTGATCAGCATAATGCCAACATTCCTTTCATGTATTTTGCTAGTTCAGCAAATGCCAAGCTGTAGCTGATACTATTTTTATCTGAGGCTATTTTATTCAGTATGCTAAGAACTTGCTTTTCTATACAGATTTGTTAAGCATTCATTATGATGCTTGACTGGTTCTACAGTTAGAAAACCTGCACAGTTTGTCACATTCATTGTGATACTTGGCTTCTTCTGCAGTGAGAACATATGCACTAAGGTTGTCAGTTTTTATTCTGCAGCTGTAATATACATTTGCATATTAGTTAACTTGGAATGTTGCACTACATGGGTTTCCTGATTGCTCCTCTATCAAAGAAGCAACAAGTTTAAGGGATGCCAAAGTGGTGCTGTCTCTGTTAGTATATTCAGTTGGGTTCCCTCCAGTAGTGTTGTCAGAATGTCATTTTCCTGCCCATTTAAGCATTGTTGAATTTTGGGTGACATGATTTTTGCCAAGAGCGGTAGTTGAATTTTTTTAAAGTTTTCAGCTAAAGTCTTGTTAACAGTTCTTCAGTATGAGCGCTTGGACTTCGCTGGATACTGGAGAGGCTCAGGCTTGTTCTTTGACAGAAAACACATAAGAACCCGTTTATAGACTACTCTGAACATGGTAAAATGGATTGCCTGACTTCCCCTGGCTGATCTAGATGTGCCTAGCTTTGATCATTTATGATTGTTCTGTATCTGGTTTGAAGGTAAGTTTCTGAGGTAGTTTTCTTGAAGGTTAGTTTTTCTACTTCTAAATATAATTAGTCTAAATTCTTTCTGCTTACAACCATCAGGAAGGCATGGAGAGATTTCATTATTCTGAAAGCAAGAGAAGTTGATCAAGCGAGTTGTTAATATTTTGATTTAAGCAAGTTGCGGATATAGTTATATTACATATTTAAGCATATTGTATATGTAGAGCTCACTAAGTTTAAAGAAAAAAGTTTTATAACCTCTTATATACTTGATAAAAGGACAGTAAAAATAAAAAAAAGATAAGTACCTTCCATAAATTTATATCCTGTAACTATGAAAACTCCTTAAAATATGCTGAATGTTTTCCCTGCATTGTCCCCATAATTTAAATTATTAAAGATTCGTAGAATATCTGCCAAATATTGCATATGTAAAAAAAAAAAAATGCACATCTGTTTAAAATTGCCATGATGCTGTGGGCTATCTTGACCTTTACAAAATTTAGTGCCTTATCAGTCACTGGCCTTGGAAAACTTTTAAAATGCAAGAGAAAATATTTTTTTTTATCTATATTTAATGTGTTTTGCAGCATTAAGCCACTTTCTGCAAAATAGTGCAGAATGTCTTAGTGGATAAATATGGTGTGACAGTAGAGCAGTCAAGGAGTAGTAAAGAGGTCTGGCCCAGCTAACTTGTGCACTCTGCATTGAGCTGCCTGGGGCTTGCTTTTTGATTTAGCATGGATTGGTTGTGAGGGTTTGCAAGTGTTTTTACAGGGTCTTGCTCTGACAGATTTTGGCAGTAAAACTGGGCATTGTTTATTGGGGCATGCTCAGTTGGAGTTCACTGTGTGCTTTAAACCATGTTACAACCCTGTTTGTCACCTTGAGCAGCATCTTCAGCTTATGCAGTAGCCTTCCAGGCAATACAATATCAAAGGCTTTTTTTTTTTTTTCCAAATGGAAATATGCAGTTTGCTTGTGTTTTTCATGCCTAGTCTTTCATCCTGTCCTGTTGGGACCTGGAAGTCGTAGAGGAGTCTTTTGACATTATATTTTTTTTTAATTTAAGCAAGTAGGTTACTTAAATTTTGTGAGGTATAATTTGTGCAGTTGCCTGTGTGGGTGCAGGGGTTGAGTCTTGGCTCATGGTCCCACCTTTTAACTTGCTGCTTGCCGGATTTGTTCTAATAGCTTTTGGGTGCTATCGTACCTATCCTTAATACTTTTTCTTTAGCTTCCAGCTTTGCCCCTGAGTACCTGTTTCCTACCTCTCAGACTGTTCTTGTCTGCCCTATCAATTCCTCTTGAGTATTTTGTATGTGTGGGGGAGCATGTTAGTGTGAGTGGTGTTCTACATTTGGTGTTTTGGCTTGTAAAGTTTTTTTTTTTTTTTCATTAACAAAGGCTTGAATGGCCTCAGGTCAAAGCTCTTTGTGGATCATTTTACTTCTCATTCTGTCATAGGTCTCTGTTAAGTTTGAAAGACATTTTTCATGGTAGAAGCTGTTTGTGTTTAAGGCAATCTTTTCTGTAAATTATCCACCAGGTTCTTCGTTTTATTCCTTCTGATTACATTGGCTGACATACATGTCAGGAATACTGGACTGTAGTTTAGGCTCTCCTGGCTGTCTTCCTTCTTGAATACTTGGATTATATTTGCTGTTCTGCAAGCACCTGGAAGTTCCTATCTTAAGGGATTTGTTGACATTCTGGGCACACAGCTTGCACAGGGCTTCAGCTTTAGTTTATATCCATGGTGATATAATGTAGAATCCTATGACTTCCATCATGAATCTCATTATTTGCTCACTCGTTTCAGTGCTGTGGAGTAGCTTTGGGTCTGCGTTTGCTTAGTCTGCTATATTCAGTTCATTTACATATTCCTCCTTACCCAAAGACACACAAGCTGTTTCATAATCTCCAGTATTTTTTTCCGTAACTTTTATTGTGCCACATTTTTTCCAAGCTTTTTCCTTCCTGAGTTTTGCATCCTTATATTGGCAGTTGCATCAGTACTTCGTGTCTATTTTCCCTGCAGATAGATACAGGCTTGTTTGATGCTTCCTTGAATTTTTGGGTGCAAAAGCTCATCATTGTCAGTTGCCAACTGTTAGTTCTGTTACACTTACAGGATGGTATAATATTTCAAAAAATAAACTACGAGTTGAAATACAATTCTGATTTCTCTTTTTACCTCAGAAAACATGAGTTGGGAAAATGCAATGATGGAAAAATTTGAAGACCAAATGCCTCGTGCAAGAGCTGGGCACTGTTCAGTTGGCATTCACTCTCGTCTTTTTGTGTGGTCAGGCAGAGATGGTTACAGAAAAGCATGGAATAACCAGGTAAGGCTTTTGTACTGTGGAAGAAATCACAATAAAAGGCATGCTTTCATATAGGTACAAATACCACAGTGAAAATAGCAAATAAAACCTGAGCATTTTCGTGTGGTTATGCACATGTGTTTAAGCACATGAAAGCACAGAGGTTTTATTTCCTATTTTCAATGTGGTATTTTTGCTTATTGTATTATGTACAATTATTCTTTTCCCTGCCTTTTATTAGGCACATGGTGAATATCTTCACTAAATTTTGAAAATAAGACAGTGAATTTTTATATCTAAATATGATACTAATTTATATACGTATATGTAAAAGGAAATTTAAGACAGAATATTGTTAAAATACAAAAACTATTCTTCAAACCAGAATAAATAAATTTGCTAAGCTACTCCAATTGTACTGCATTCTGTATAAATTATCATACCACTTAATGTACTCCCTAACTGACCAAATCATAAAAGCAAACTATGCAGAGCACCTCAGATTAATGTTCATTTATACATGTATGTTAATAGGTTTGCTGCAAAGATTTGTGGTACCTGGAAACCAGTGTACCAGGGTCACCTGGTAGAGTGCAGTTGGTGAGAGCATCAACTACTACCTTAGAGGTCTGCTGGGGTGCAACACCCACTGCAGATGCATATCTCCTTCAGGTTTGTATGATTTATTCAAACTATTTTTTTTATATGCAGGCTGTGGCATAACATCACTTCATTGTGTTAAGTTTTTTCTGCACCCTGCAATGCTGTAGAACATAAAAAAAAAAAAAGAGCCAACACCACATAATTAAATTTCTACCAAACCTTGAGCTAATCAACTCACTACTACAGCCAGTGTATTAAAATAAATAAATGAAATAATTTTTCTTGATAAAGTGACTTAGCTTACACCCTTGTATATAATTTGCCCAGCTGGGTATGATAATCCATGATACAGTGGAAGTACTAAGTATTATAAGTGGAGAACAGGGATCTGATAATTATTCATAAATATATAAATTGTAGGTAGTAGGTTGGTAGACAGCAACTGCCCAGGGAAGTACTACCGTACTGCCAAGCGAGTGTGAAACGGAAGCCTGTAATTGTTTTAAGTGATGGTAGGATTGCTGGTGTCTTTTCTCTGTCTCATAAACATGCAAGATTTCAAGTATGTCTTGCTATTTCTACTTACACTTAGGTCACACTACACATACATGTACAAGCATGTATATACACATCCCTCTGGGGTTTCTTCTATTTTCTTACTAGTTCTTGTTTATTTCCTTTTATCTCCATGGGGAAGTAGAACAGCATTCTTCCTCCATATGTGTCGTAAGAGGTGACTAAAATGCTAGTAATCCCTTTTCCTGTATAAATTACTAAATTTAAAAAGAGAAACTTTCATTTTTCTTTTTGGGCCACCCTTCCTCTGTGGGATATGGCAAGTTTGTTGAAAGAAGATATATAAATCTTAGTGTGGAAATTAGGCGGTGTGGAGTTACTAAAAGTATTAGTCAGAGGGCTGAAGAGGGGTTGTTGAGGTGGTTTGGTCATTTAGAGAGAATGGAACAAAGTAGAATGCCTTAGAGAGCGTATAAATCTGTAGGGGGAGGAAGGTGGGGTAGCGGTCATCCTCAAGAATGTTGGAGGGAGGGGGTAAAGGAGGTTTTTTGGGCGAGGGGCTTGGATTTCCAGTAAGTGTGCGTTAGCGTGTTAGATAGAAGTAGATGGAGATGAATGATTTTTGGGACCTGACGAGCTGTTGGAGTGTGAGCAGGGTAATATTTTGTGAAGGGATTCAGGGAAACCAGTTAGCTAGGCTGGAATACTGCTGTACACTAACTGCCCCCTTCAAGGCAGGCAAAATTACTGACCTGGAGAGTGTGCAAAGAACTTTCGTGGCACACATAAGTATGATAAGGCACCTAAATTACTGGGAACGGTTGAAGTCCCTTGATTTGTATTCCCTGGAATGCAGGCGAGAGATATACAGTGGACTCCCGCTTAACGATCACCTCCAAATGCGACCAATTATGTAAGTGTATTTATGTAAGTGCATTTGTACGTGTATGTTTGGGGGTCTGAAATGGACTAATCTACTTCACAATATTCCTTATGGGAAAAAATTCGGTCAGTACTGGCACCTGAACATACTACTGGAATGAAAAAAGTTCGTTAACCGGGGGTCCACTGTACATGATAATATACACTTGGAAAATCCTAGAGAGATTAGTACCAAACTTGCACACTAAAATCACTCCCTATGAAAGCAAAAGACTCGGCAGGAGATGCCCAATGAAAAGCAGGGGTGCCATGAGTACACTGAGACAACACAGTAAGTGTCAGGGGCCCAAGACTGTTCAACTGCCTCCCAGCATATGCATGGGGGATAACCAATAGACCCCCTGGCTTTCTTCAAGAAGGCACTGGACAGGCACCTAAAGTCAGTACCTGACCAGCTGGGCTGTGGTTCGTATGTCAGTGTGCATGCGGCCGGCAGTAACAGCCTGGTTGATCAGACCCTGATCCACCACAAGGCCTGGTCTCAGACCTAGCTGTGGGGGTGTTGACCCCCAAAATCCTCTCCAGGTAGGAAAGGTGCAGCCAAAATTCAGTAGTACACGAAAGACCTTCATAGTGTGTTCTATTCAGTTTTGGATGCATTTTTTCAGTTTCTCTGCAAAAATTTGCTCCTTACAGAATAGCATAATAAAAGAGTTTATCATAGTTTTAAGCTGTGATTATTCTTATTAGCTGTAGGACTTCATTAAATTTTAAGTAACTTTGTTTAATTCTGTGAAGTAATTGTAAATGCTGTATTTAATAAATACTTCATTTTCTGCAGTTTTGTTTAACTAAATATTTTGTATGGTGTAGGAGGTGGGAGGGCCTAAAAGTAGGAGAGAGAATGATGAAAGTTGAGGTGGAAGGGAAAGGTGATGCATTAAATTAAATTATTTCATAAAAAAATTTCTGTATTATGAGATTTTCTGAAAGAGACCAAGTATACTTCCTTTGATGACATTAACATGAATGAACCTTATGTTTTGTCAGAAATACTTTGAGTAATGTTTGTTATAATGGTATTCATACCAACAGATCCAAAAGTATGACATCCCAACCCCAGCATCAACAGCATCAACTCCAGCTACCCCTCCAAGCACTGCCACCTCCAGTATACCTGGTACTCCTGCCAACAAGCCTATTACTCTCACCCAAACTGTTCTTAGACCAGCTGCACCTGGAACTATTACACCTATGGCCCCTACCTCTCCACAAACTATACGAGGTCAGTTTTTATTTCTTATTACATTGGAACACTTACTGTCTACATAAGTCTTTCTGGCCATATTCAGATACTAGCTGATTTTGGTGGACAGCTAAGGTAACCCTGTAATGAAGGCCCATACAGCATTAACTGTGGAAGGTCATACAATTTTAGTTACCTCCTTTGTTGAGAAATTTAAAAAAATAGTTTGAAAGAGCTAAATAAAACTACAAAAAGAAAAAGGAAATGAAAAGAATGCTATTGGTTTTTATGGTATGTTAAATTTGGCTATAAATGATCACTTGGTGGCAAACATCATAAATTCATGTAAAGGTGCTTATTTTATTTTATTATTTTTTTTTTATTATCACACTGGCCGATTCCCACCAAGGCAGGGTGGCCCGAAAAAGAAAAACTTTCACCATCATTCACTCCATCACTGTCTTGCCAGAAGGGTGCTTTACACTACAGTTTTTAAACTGCAACATTAACACCCCTCCTTCAGAGTGCAGGCACTGTACTTCCCATCTCCAGGACTCAAGTCCGGCCTGCTCGTTTCCCTGAATCCCTTCATAAATGTTACTTTGCTCACCTCAAACAGCAGTCAAGTTTAAAAAACCATTTGTCTCCATTCACCTACATAACAGTCACCAACTCTCATGCCTGCTGGAAGTCCAAGCCCCTCGCACACAAAACCTCCTTTACCCTCCCTCCAACCCTTCTAGGCTGACCCTACCCCGCCTTCCTCCACTACAGAACTGATACACTCTTGAAGTCATTCGTTTCGCTCCATTCTCTCTACATGTGCGAACCACCTCAACAACCCTTCCTCAGCCCTTGGACAACAGTTTTGGTAATCCGCACTCTCCTAACTCCAAACTACGAATTCCCTGTATTATATTCACACAACAGTTTCCTCAGACATGACTCTCCACTGGCCTCCAGGCTTCTCCTCGCTGCAACATTCATCACCCACGCTTCACACCCATATAAGAGCGTTGGTAAAACTATACTCCATAACATTTCCCTCTTTGCCTCCGAAGGACACAAGTTCTTTGTCTCCACAGACTCCTAAGTGTCACCACTCACTCTTTTTCCCTCATCAATTCTATGGATTCACCTCATCTTTCATAGACCCATCCGCTGACACGTTCCACTCCCAAATATCTGAATACGTTCACTCCTCCTATATCTCCTCCCTCCAATCTGATATTCAATCTTTCATCACCTAATCTTTTTGTTATCCTCATAACTTTACTCTTTCCTGTATCACCTTTAATTTTCTTCTTTTGCACACCCTACCAAATTCATCCACCAATCTCTGCAGCTTCTCTTCAGAATCTCCCAAGAGCACAGTATCATCAGCAAAGAGCAGCTGTGACAACTCCCACTTTGTGTGTGATTCTTTATCTTTTAACTCCACGCCTCTTGCCAAGACCCTCGCATTTACTTCTCTTACAACCCCATCTATAAATATATTAAACAACCACGGTGACATCACACATCCTTGTCTAAGACCTACTTCTTCTTCTTCTTTCAACGTACCAGCCGTATCCCACTGAGGTGGGGTGGCCCAAAAGAAAAAACTGAAGTTTCTCCTTTTAAATTTAGTAATATATACAGGAGAAGGGGTTACTAGCCCCTTGCTCCCGGCATTTTAGTCGCCTCTTACGACATGCATGGCTTACAGAGGAAGAATTCTGTTCCACTTCCCCATGGAGAAAAGACCTACTTTTACTGGGAAAAAATTTCCCTCTTTCCTACATACTCTAACTTGAGCCTCACTATCCTCGTAAAAACTCTTCACTGCTTTCAGTAACCTACCTCCTACACCATACACTTGCAACATCTGCCACATTGCCCCCCTATCCACCCTGTCATACGCCTTTTCCAAATCCATAAATGCCACAAAGACCTCTTTAGCCTTATCTAAATACTGTTCACTTATATGTTTCACTGTAAACACCTGGTCCACACACCCCCTACCTTCCTAAAGCCTCCTTGTTCATCTGCTATCCTATTCTCCGTCTTACTCTTAATTCTTTCAATTATAACTCTACCATACACTTTACAGGTACACTCAACAGACTTATCCCCCTATAATTTTTGCACTCTCTTTTATCCCCTTTGCCTTTATACAAAGGAACTATGCATGCTCTCTGCCAATCCCTAGGTACCTTACCCTCTCCCATACATTTATTAAATAATTGCACCAACCACTCCAAAACTATATCCCCACCTGCTTTTAACATTTCTATCTTTATCCCATCAATCCCGGCTGCCTTACCCCCTTTCATTTTACCTACTGCCTCACGAACTTCCCCCACACTCACAACTGGCTCTTCCTCACTCCTACAAGATGTTATTCCTCCTTGCCCTATACACGAAATCACAGCTTCCCTATCTTCATCAACATTTAACAATTCCTCAAAATATTCCCTCCATCTTCCCAATACCTCTAACTCTCCATTTAATAACTCTCATCTCCTATTTTTAACTGACAAATCCATTTGTTCTCTAGGCTTTCTTAACTTGTTAATCTCACTCCAAAACTTTTTCTTATTTTCAACAAAATTTGTTGATAACATCTCACCCACTCTCTCATTTGCTCTCTTTTTACATTGCTTCACCACTCTCTTAACCTCTCTCTTTTTCTCCATATACTCTTCCCTCCTTGCATCACTTCTACTTTGTAAAAAACTTCTCATATGCTAACTTTTTCTCCCTTACTACTCTCTTTACATCATCATTCCACCAATCGCTCCTCTTCCCTCCTGCACCCACTTTCCTGTAACCACAAACTTCTGCTGAACACTCTAACACTACATTTTTAAACCTACCCCATACCTCTTCGACCCCATTGCCTATGCTCTCATTAGCCCATCTATCCTCCAATAGCTGTTTATATCTTACCCTAACTGCCTCCTCTTTTAGTTTATAAACCTTCACCTCTCTCTTCCCTGATGCTTCTATTCTCCTTGTATCCATCTACCTTTTACTCTCAGTGTAGCTACAACTAGAAAGTGATCTGATATATCTGTGGCCCCTCTATAAACATGTACATCCTGAAGTCTACTCAACAGTCTTTTATCTACCAATACATAATCCAACAAACTACTGTCATTTCGCCCTACATCATATCGTGTATACTTATTTATCCTCTTTTTCTTAAAATATGTATTACCTATAACTAAACCCCTTTCTATACAAAGTTCAATCAAAGGGCTCCCATTATCATTTACACCTGGCACCCCAAACTTACCTACCACACCCTCTCTAAAAGTTTCTCCTACTTTAGCATTCAGGTCCCCTACCACAATTACTCTCTCACTTGGTTCAAAGGCTCCTATACATTCACTTAACATCTCCCAAAATCTCTCTCTCTTATATTTTGCAATTTTTTTATGACACCAGCTGTCTCACACTGAAGTACGTGATCTATAAAAAGAGGAAACCCATTCACCATCATTCACTCAGTATTTTGTCTTGCCAGAAGAGTGCTGACATCATATTTTCACCTTCAGGACTCCAGTCCAGCTAGCTACTTTCCCCTGATTCTCTTCATAAAGATTACCTTGCTCACTCGCACAGAATGCCAAGTCATAAAAAAACACTTGCCTCCACTTGCTTTGATCTAACACACTCATAAGTCTGTCAGAGGTTAGTCTTCAGCACTCATAACTTTATCACTTTCCTCCAATTTTTCCTGGAATAATGCCTACCCCTCCTTCCTTCCACCCCCAGACTCATATACCCTCTTAGTCATCCTAATAATTTTTTCTTTAAATAAAAAAGAACTAAATTGTTCTAGGGCTTTGTAAATCATACAGCTAAACTCACTTGATTGCTGTCTACCAAGATATTGCCAATTATATATTGCCTTTATTTTGCATGGTGAACTCTGCTGAGCTTAGGACATGAAAACAAATGTGCTGATCTTTGTATAACCATGTAAGAACATTGAAAGTTATTAGAAAATAGATAAAGCATTTAACTTAGCACCAACAACAAAAAGAACACTTGTCAACTTGTATATAGTATTTTGAAAGAAAGCTAATAAGCATTTCTTCAAAAATAGTGGTACTACACAGAACAGGAATGGGATCAAAGCATAGATAGCAAATGCTATAGCCACTGGAAAACTTAGCATTCTATGACAGACTAAACTCTGAAGACCATGAACAAATAATCAGTGGATTTTCATGAGTGGTACCCATGCAGCCTAAATTTTGTTTGCAAATTTTTTCACTTGGGCACAGTTATGGTACGTAAAGTGAAAGAACACTTAGCAAGTTTCCGAGAGTAAGTAAATGACTAGAGAGTGACTAGAGAGAATGGAACAGGTACCTGGAGTCTACCTGGAGGGTATTCCAGGGATCAACGCCCCCACAGCCCGGTCCACGACCAGGCCCTCTCGGTGGATCGGGGCCTGATCGACCAGGCTGTTACTGCTGGCTGCACGTAGTCCAACGTATGAACTGCCTGGCTGATCAGGCAGTTCGTTCGAAGGCTTGTAGTAGCTTTGTTGTGTAAAACTGAAATTAGCCTTACAATTCTGATTTTTTTTTTTTTTTTTTTTTTTTATTCGCCGGTATTTTCCCGGCCCGGGTCTTTTCCAAGTAGTGGTGACCCGGCCTTGGCTCCCTATCTGGGGAGTGTCTCGAGACTTAAGTCTCCCATGGGAGGAGGTATAGTACCTCCTCATCTTTGGGACCAAGTGTCCCCAGGCCTATCCACATTCCCCGCCCTCACGGGGCTCGTAGAGAGAAGCTAGGCCTCTGGTCTGCCATCTACCCCGCCTCAAAGGGGCTCGTGGGGATGGCAGTCTTATGAGCTGCAGATGGTAGCAAGCTCAGGCCTCTCTTGACCTTCATTCTGATTTTAGTGGTATTTGTTAAACTTATACTGTTATTATTAGTCTTTTTTTTTTTTTTTTTTTTTTTTAGTAAGCCCTGCTTATATTGATATATCATATCTGTGCAATTATGGTAACTCATTAAGCTACACATATATAAGCATTCTACACAAAATGTGACTTAACACTGTCCCTTTTTTCATGCACTTACGTAAAAATAAAATATTTTAAAGCATATGCAAGGTTATTTACCAAGATGTTTTAATATAAAGGCATTTTTTGTTTGCTTTTAGTGCCTGCTGGGAATACATTTCACATTATCTTTTTCTTTTTCCTTTCCTTTCAGCTGGTGGTAACATTGTCAGAGTACGAGCACCTGGAGCAGGACAGATAAAAGTTATTGGTGCAGGGGGACAAACGACACAAATTTTGCGAGGTGGTCTACCAGCCACAACTACGGCTACATCTCAAGGTGGCATGTCAGGGATTGCAGCCTTAGCTGCTGCAGCTGCAGCTGCTGCCTCACAAAAAATAACTACAAGTACTGGTAGTACAGCATCTCCTACTACAGTAAAAGTAGTGCAGCCTAATACACTAGTCACTCCACAAGGTGTGAAAGTGGCTACTACAATTGCAGGACAGACAGTGAGACTAGTTTCACCCTCTGGTCAGGTAAGGCAAATAAGGTTTACCTGAATTATGCTTTATGCAATAAAAACCATGTATACTAATGATTTTGCTTCTATTGTGGACTTTGCTGAGTTCCACAGCAGTTATCAACTTTGAACAAGAATTCATAGAGTTGAAATCTTTTTAGTATGTGTGTGTGCCTATGCATGCACACGTGTGAAATTTTTAACTCTTGTTTTCTCTTAGTTTTTACACAGGAAGATACTAGTGAAATTCCAGAAATTATAAATTATATAGAACAGGATGATAAACTGCACAATTAGGGTAACTAGTGACATGGTCCTCAGACAAGTAGAGAAATTAAAACCAAACAAATCTCCAGACCCTGATGAACTGTTTGCAAGGGTTTTAAAGGAATGTAAAGAGGAGCTTAGCAAACATTTGGCTAGTCTTTTCAACATATCACTACAAACTGGCATGGTGCCAGTCAAGTGGAAAATGGCCAATGTGATACCTATTTACAGAGCAGGTGTCAGGTCCTTAGCTTCGAATTATAGATCAATAAGCTTTACCTCCATAGTGGCAAAATTTATGGAATCACTAATTGCCAAGGCAATTCATAGCCCTCTTGAAAGACATAAATTAATTAATGAATCTCAGCATGGTTTTACAAAGGGGTGTTCTTACCTTACAAATTTACTAACTTTTTTCACCAAGGTATTTGAGGAGGTAGATCATGGCAGTGAAGACAGTTTTGTGTATATGGACTTCAGTAAGGTTTTTGATAGAGTTCCACATCAGAGGCTATTGAGGAAAATTAAGGCACATGAAATAGGAGAAATTTTTACCTTGGTAGAGGCGTGGTTGAGAGATAAGCGGAGAGTTTGCATCAGTGGAGAGAAATCAGAGGGGGGGGGGGTTCATGAGTGGTGTTCCACAAGGGTTGGTGTTGGGCCCTTTGTTCACAATTTATATAAACAACATTGATGAGGGTATAAATAGCAACATAAGCTAGTTTGCTGATGACACCAAAATAGGTTGCCTAATTCATTCTAATAAGGACATTAGAGCACTCCAGGAAGATCTGAATAGACTGATGCAGTGGTCAAAGAAGTGGCAGATGCAGTTTAATATAGACATGCAAAGTTCTAAACATTGGACAAAATAATAACCATGCCACATATAAACTTAATAATGTAGATCTTTATATTACTGATTGCAAAAAGGACTTGGGAGTTCTGGTTAGCAGTAATCTAAAACCAAGACAACAGTGCATAAGTGTTCACAATAAAGTGAACAGAATCTTTGGCTTCATATCAAGGAGCATAAATAATAGGAGTCCTCAGGTTGTTCTTCAACTCTGTTTCTTTGGTTAGGCCTCATTTAAATTATGCTGCACAGCTCTGGTCACTGTATTACAGAATGGATATTAATGCACTGGAAAATGTACAAAGGAGGACTGAGGGCCCTGAATCTGCACTCTAGAAGGGCATAGACTCGGTGGCATCGCTAGGGTTGGTGTCGCCCGGGGCAGAATCTTTGGTGTCACCCCCATGAAATCCAAGGGTGGGGGGATGGGAAGCAAACTCCAGCTATGTCACTACTGCATGACCAGTGATTAATGTTTAGCAGTGAGAATGTTTAACCCTTTGACTGTTTCCGACATATAAATACGTCTTACGAGCCAATGTTTCTGACGTATTTATACGCATAAATTCTAGCAGCTTCAAATCAAGCAGGAGAAAGCTGGTAGGCCCACATGTGAGAGAATGGGTCTCCATGGTCAGTGTGCACCATATAAAAAAAATCGGGGAGCCAGTGGTGCATTGTGGGAATGCCATTTCAGTTGTCCTTTTTCAGCATGTCTAGCGGTAAGAAATATGTGATTCCCCAGCAAATCTGGGACTCTTCTCTTCCCAAGTGATGCTCTAACACAGATGGAAGTGTCAGTGAAGATCAATTTCATGATTTGGAGGAGTTTGAGACCAAAAGCAATGGAGGAGGAAGAGGAGGAGGAGGAGGGAGGAGGAGGAAGGAAGAAGAAGAAGAAGAAGATGTAATAATATTGTTCCCTTGAAGCAAGAAAAAAAAAAGTCCACCCCATGACAGTGACAAAATAAGGGGAGATAACATCTGATAAGAGCTGACTTTGATGAGCTTAAACGAGGGTAGAGCTGATAAGAAAATATTACATGACCATCGCCCTCCCTTTGTTTTTGCTGGTACACAAACATTTCTGTCTGTCTATTTGTCTGTCTGTCAAGCTCCCTGTCTGTCCATCTAACTCTTTGTCTCAGAGAGAGCCACAAGACTGTGTCATCACGTTTACTCACATCTTCAAGCAGAGTATAGCACTTTGCCTGGATTTCTTGGGTTATCCTAGGTAATTTACACTATGTATACTTGTATTTATGTGTACCTGTGAGGCAGAGATAGGCAGACAGATAGAAAGAGAGATTAAAAGATATAGAATGAGGGAGAAAGATAATTATATAGAATGGAGGAGGGGAAGCAGCATCCAACCCCATTGTTTTGACAGGCAGGAGGGGGAGTGAGTAATGAGACAATATGTCATTTTGACAGCTGCTGACTTCTGACTCAAAACAATTATAAGCCACACACTCGCACACAAGACAAGGAGGAGGAGAAGGAGGAGGAGGAGGAGGAGGAGGAGAAGGAGAAGGAGAAGGAGAAGGAGAAGGAGGAGGAGGATGATTGTTTGTTTGTTTTTGTAAACAAGTTTTATAAACAATATATTGATAATTATGTTTGTGTGCTTATTGTGTTGTATACAACGAGTGTATATATGTACATTGCACCTCACTTTGGTCTCATAGGCCACATAAGTTATGTGAAAAAATAAAATAGTGAAAAAAACAAAAAACCTTCAATTACAAGTAAACTAAAGTTTACCAGGTGAGCGGCAGTCGCTGTTGCCATACGCGGCTCATTTTCTGCAAACTTCACGGTTCTATATCTTGGTAAGTACCGATGGCAAAATTTTTTTTTTTTTGGACTAAAACACTCAGAAAAATAATCTTAACATTTTCATAAGAAAAAATAATTTTTTTTTTTTTGAATATTTGGCGACATAGAATGACAGTTTCAGAGAGGGGCCTGAAACAGTCAAAGGGTTAAGGGCCATAAACCGAACAGGAGAATACTTCTCAACTTTATTAATAATAAAATAAATAATTGTAGTAATATTGAGGAAACATAAACTCAAATACCACTTTGAGTACAGGCAACAGATCCTACATTTATTTATCTTCAACAATGAAAAAAAAAAAAACTTGAAAAATAAAGGAAAACATTGTAATATCAGAGAAACACTAATTCCGATTTTACCTTGAGTACAGGTAACATCTCAGTGTACCTGATCTTACATTTCCTTGCCTTCAGTCCTGCAAAATCATCTATCACATGCAATTCATTGATATTCCCTATATAGACCTATTTGTACCTTGTAATCATATAATAGGCTATATAGAAATGAAGGATTTTTCTTATGTTACTGCAGCACTATTTTGGGCATTAGTGTCACCTTTAGAGGCTCTATGGTGTCACCCGGGGCAGATATGATTGACGTGTATAAATAGACAGGATTCAAAGATAGGACTCAAAGCAGTGGTTTTAAGTTAGAAAAATTCGGATTCAGGAAGGATATAGGACAGCACTGGTTTGGTAATAGAGTTGTGGATGAGTGGTACAAACTCCCAAGTACTGCCACAGAAGCTAAGATGTTATGTAGTTTAAAAAATAGGTTGGATAATAATGAGTGGGTGTGGGTGGGTGTGAGTTGGACCTGACTAGCTTGTGCTAATAGGTTTGATGCTGTGCTCCTTAAGTGGATGTGATCTGATCTGACTAGGTGGGCTGTTGGTTTAAGTTGGGAAGTGATGTAGACCTGCCTTGCATGAGCCAGTCGGCCTGCAGCAATGTTCCTTCTTATGCTCCTCCTCCTGCAAGTTTAAGATGTGATCTGATGGCAATTGCTGGACCTGATCCTCTGAAAATTTACCATCTCCCCTTTTTCTTTCTCTCCTCATATGCACTCAATTGATATAATCTCATGCTCCTAATCTTATCTCATCTTCTATTTGGGCCCCCTTCTTTCAGCTCTCTGGCATCCATGAATCATCAGTGACCTTCCACTACCTCTCTTAGTGTATTTTCACCATTTTCCTTTGTCCCTTATCACCACCTTACCTTCAGAGAGCATCACTGCCAGTGACTTTTATTGTTTTCTCCAAACTGCTGTGCTCCCTCTTCTTCCTTCACTGTTTCTGTCCTCTACTAACCTCTCTCATATTTCTTCCATGGTCTCCTTCAGTCCCCTTATCTGCTCTTGCAAATTAGCCTTATTTATTTATTTATTTATTTATTTATTTATTGTGCAACCTTGTTCCTGGCCTTATTACATACTGCCTCCTTTTCCTCTCAGATGGAATTTAACTTTTTCAAAATGCTCTCTCAGTGTTCATCGTTTCATAATTTCCTTTAGTTTTACATTTCCTCTTTGTTTTAGGGTTCTTTCCTCTTCCATAGTTGCCCTATTTTCCTGTTCTGCAGTTATACCCGTAGCTTCATTGCATGATGCTACTGCTTCATTCCTAAAGGAATTGAACATCCACTCAAACTCCTCTTCCAACTGTATGTATGTACTTCAAGGTAAAATAGAGATTTCTCCTGATGTCTATTATTCTGGCTAACTGGTTTCATTGAATGCTTCCATAAATGTTATTTTACTATAGTTTTGGAGTGGTTGGTGCAATTATTTAATAAATGTATGGAAGAGGGTAAGGTACCTAGGGATTGGCAGAGAGCATGCATAGTTCCTTTGTATAAAGGCAAAGGGGATAAAAGAGAGTGCAAAAATTATAGGGGGATAAGTCTGCTGAGTATACCTGGTAAAGTGTATGGTAGAGTTATTATTGAAAGAATTAAGAGTAAGATGGAGAATAGGATAGCAGATGAACAAGGAGGCTTTAGGAAAGGTAGGGGGTGTGTGGACCAGGTGTTTACAGTGAAACATATAAGTGAACAGTATTTAGATAAGGCTAAAGAGGTCTTTGTGGCATTTATGGATTTGGAAAAGGCGTATGACAGGGTGGATAGGGGGGCAGTGTGGCAGATGTTGCAAGTGTATGGTGTAGGAGGTAGGTTACTGAAAGCAGTGAAGAGTTTTTACGAGGATAGTGAGGCTCAAGTTAGAGTATGTAGGAAAGAGGGAAATTTTTTCCCAGTAAAAGTAGGCCTTAGACAAGGATGTGTGATGTCACCGTGGTTGTTTAATATATTTATAGATGGGGTTGTAAGAGAAGTAAATGCGAGGGTCTTGGCAAGAGGCGTGTAGTTAAAAGATAAAGAATCGCACACAAAGTGGGAGTTGTCACAGCTGCTCTTTGCTGATGACACTGTGCTCTTGGGAGATTCTGAAGAGAAGTTGCAGAGATTGGTGGATGAATTTGGTAGGGTGTGCAAAAGAAGAAAATTAAAGGTGAATACAGGAAAGAGTAAGGTTATGAGGATAACAAAAAGATTAGGTGATGAAAGATTGAATATCAGATTGGAGGGAGAGAGTATGGAGGAGGTGAATGTATTCAGATATTTGGGAGTGGACGTGTCAGCGGATGGGTCTATGAAAGATGAGGTGAATCATAGAATTGATGAGGGGAAAAGAGTGAGTGGTGCACTTAGGAGTCTGTGGAGACAAAGAACTTTGTCCTTGGAGGCAAAGAGGGGAATGTATGAGAGTATAGTTTTACCAACGCTCTTATATGGGTGTGAAGCATGGGTGATGAATGTTGCAGCGAGGAGAAGGCTGGAGGCAGTGGAGATGTCATGTCTGAGGGCAATGTGTGGTGTGAATATAATGCAGAGAATTCGTAGTTTGGAAGTTAGCAGGAGGTGCGGGATTACCAAAACTGTTGTCCAGAGGGCTGAGGAAGGGTTGTTGAGGTGGTTCGGACATGTAGAGAGAATGGAGCGAAACAGAATGACTTCAAGAGTGTATCAGTCTGTAGTGGAAGGAAGGCGGGGTAGGGGTCGGCCTAGGAAAGGTTGGAGAGAGGGGGTAAAGGAGGTTTTGTGTGCGAGGGGCTTGGACTTCCAGCAGGCATGCGTGAGCGTGTTTGATAGGAGTGAATGGAGACAAATGGTTTTTAATACTTGACGTGCTGTTGGAGTGTGAGCAAAGTAACATTTATGAAGGGGTTCAGGGAAACCGGCAGGCCGGACTTGAATCCTGGAGATGGGAAGTACAGTGCCTGCACTCTGAAGGAGGGGTGTTAATGTTGCAGTTTAAAAACTGTAGTGTAAAGCACCCTTCTGGCAAGACAGTGATGGAGTGAATGATGGTGAAAGTTTTTCTTTTTCGGGCCACCCTGCCTTGGTGGGAATCGGCCAGTGTGATAATAATAAAAAAAAATATTTTACTAACACTCCAACAGTATATAAATTAAAAAAAACACTGGTCTCCTTTCACTTTTACCTAATTCTCGCAGAAGCCTGATGGATGCAAGTCCCTACCACACAACCCTTTATCCCCTTCCTCCAACCATTCCTGGAATGACCCCTGCCTCTCCTGCCTTCAATCCTAAATTTATACACCTTTGTCATCTTTTCCCTCTCCATTCTCTCCGTGCCCAACCCATCTCGACAACCCATCCTCAGCACTCTGAATTATACCTTGGTGACCCCATACAAACTTAGTTTCTTCTTCCCATGTTTTCTTAACACTGTCCATCTCCCGAGACAGGGTGACCCCAAAAAAGAAACTCTTTCATCATCATTTACACTTACTGCTGTCTTGCCAGAGGTATGCAGATCTGACAGTTTAAATCTAGTCCCTCTAAACAGCAAATATCTCAAACCCCTCCTTCAGAGTAGGCAGGCACCGTCCTTCTCACCTCCAGGACTCAAGTTCGGCTAACTGATTTTCGTGACTCCCTTCACAAAATATTACCTTTCTCACACTCCAGTAGCTCATCAAGTCCCAAAAACGTTTTGTCTCCACTCACTCCTATCTAACATGTTCACACGTGCCTGCTGTATGTCCCAGTCCCTTACACACAAAACCTCCTATTCTCTTCTTCATTTGCTATTTGGTTCCTTAGATAAACTTTCTGCAGATGCCTCAGTGCACTGCCTACCTTTTTTTTCTTCCATCTGTTCAATGGTTTGCCTCATCTTCCATGAACCTTTCTGGTGACAAATTCACTTCCAAATATCTAAATATTGTACATCCATTTCCTCCATACTCTCTCAGGTATGATATCCAGTCTTTCATTGCCTAGAATTTTGGTTGCTCTCAACACCTTGTTCTTTTCTATATTCACTTTTAATATCCTTCTTTTACATACCTTCCCAAGATCATACACCATCCTTTACAACTTTGTTATCAACAAAGAGCAACAGTGGCAACTCTCAACTGTGTTTATTCACCCTACATTGGTAAGAGGCAGTTGTATTTTAATGCACCGGCCATCTTCCACCAAGGCAGGGTGACCTGGAAAAGAAACACTTTCACCATTGGTCACACCATGACTTTCTTGCCAGAGGTGTGCTGACACTACAGTTTGGATGCCGCTCCAAACTGCAGTATCCCCACCCCTGCTTCAGAGTGCAGGCACTTTACTTTGTACCTCTAGCTGGCTAACTGGTTTCCCTGAATCCCTTTATGAATGTGACCTTCCTCACACTCTAACATGTCATGTCATAATAATCACTGGCTTCCACTCACCCCTATCCAACACACTCACACATGGTATTTTATAAAACTAATAAAAAGTGTGTGATAATCAGTATGCTTTGATTTGCTTTCAGCTTGGGAATTGTATACCACAAAAATAGAAAATGAGTATCATAAATTAAAAAAATCCATATTTCTTTACTAATTTGTACCAAAAAAAAATTAGCATTCCATTTATGCATAAAGAGTGTGTACATGAAATGTATTTTTTTTTATTAACACATCGGTTGTTACCCACCAAGGCAGGGTGACCTGAAAAAGAAAAACTTATCATTCACTCCATCACTGTCTTGCCAGAGGCTTGCCTGCACTACAGTTAAAAAACTGCAACATATCACCACCCCTCCTCCAGAACTCAAGTCCAGCTAACCAGTTTCCCTGAATCCCTTCATAAATGTTACTTTGCTCACACTCCAACAGCACATCGTCATGAAAAAAAACATTCATCTCCACTCGTTCCTATCTGACACGCTCAAGTATGCTTGCTGGAAGTCCAAGCCCCTTGCACACAAAACCTGCTTTACCCCCCCTCCCTCCAACCTTTCCTAGGACAACTTCTACCCTGCCTCCCTTCCTCTACAGATTTATATGCCCTCCAAGTTATTGTTTTGTTCCATCCTCTAAATGTCCAAACCACCTCAAAAACCCTTCCTCATCCCTCTTGGATAATACTTTTCGAAACCCTGCACCTCCTCCTAATCTCCAAACTATGGATTCTCTGCATTATATTCACACTGCACATTTCCCTCAGACACAACATCTCCACTGCCTCCAGCCTTCTCTTTGTTGCAACATTCACCACTCATGCTTCACATCCATATAAGAGTGTTGGTACCACTATACTCTTGTACATTCATTTGAAGAGCGATTTAAGAGAGGAAAATCCATATGGGACATTTTCAAAAAATTTGATAGTTGATTTTCAGTTTGTAATTTGTTTCATGCCTTCACAAAATGTGTTAAAAAAAAAAGGCTTGTGGATGATTCATTAGAAAAAAATTGGAGAATTTAAAAATTTTACTCCCATTAATTTTTTTGTATTGTACGTACTCAGTTTGCATGTTCTATCTATGATACAATAATTTTGCCTATTCTTAATTCTCCCAAATTTGGATTTTTTTTTTTTTAATCAAACTGGCCATATCCCGCTGAGGCAGGGAGACCTGAAGAAAAATAAACAAAAGTTTCTCTTTAAATTTAGTAATGTATACAGAAGAGGGAGTTACTAGCCTCTTGATCTCTGCATTTTAGAATTGTTCCACTTCCCCAATGGAGAAAATTTAGAAAATAAATTTTTAAATTATAAATAATATCCAAGACTCGGCAAATTCTTATGTTCAAAGAAAGTTCTGAAATTTAATTTGTATTTCTTCAGATATGAGATAACTTACAATTTGGGTCATACGTAAAAGTTTTTATTGCTTAGAATTTTGTATAATTAGAGTACCTGAGCACAGATTAGTTCAGGTAAGTGAGAAATCACTGTTTAAAAGCAAGTAAAGGAATTCTGTATTATCTTAGTGTCACGGTCTCATTATCTTCAGGTTCTTAACACCCAAGGAGCAACCGTGGCAGGACAGGGGGGTAAGCAGTTTATCCTTCAGAAGAGTGGTGTACCTGGATCACAACCACAGATTGTTACACTTGTCAAGACGAGTAAAGGCCTTACACCGGTAAGTTCATCATAGGAGTTTGTATATCATTTTACTTGAAAAATGTCCTTTTAAAGATCATTCAGGGATTCATTTATGAATTAGTTTTCTTTTCAACGGATAGTGGTTCCTTTGTAAAAGTATGTTCTCTCATTACTATATAAATAAATATAAATTCTTCTTCTTTCAACGTACCAGCCGTATCCCACTGAGGTGGGGTGGCCCGAAAGAAAAAACTAAAATTTCCCCTTTTAAATTTAGTAATATATACAGGAGAAGGGGTTACTAGCCCCTTGCTCCCGGCATTTTAGTCGCCTCTTAAGACACGCATGGCTTACAGAGGAAGAATTCTGTTCCACTTCCCCATGGAGATAAGAGGAAATAAACAAGAACAAGAATTAGAAAGAAAATAGAAGAAAACCCAGAGGGGTGTGTATATATATGCTTGTACACGTATGTGTAGTGTGACCTAAGTGTAAGTAGAAGTAGCAAGACGTACCTGTAATCTTGCATATTTATGAGACGGACAAAAGACTCGACTCACGAAATCATAATGACACGATTGCAAACAAACCATACCCCGGCCGGGATTGAACCCGCGGTCAGAGAGTCTCAAAACTCCAGCCCGTCGCGTTAGCCACAAAAGACACCAGCAGTCCTACCGTCATGTAAAACAATTACAGGCTTTCGTTTTACACTCGCTTGGCAGGACGGTAGTACCTCCCTGGGCGGTTGCTGTCTACCAACCTACTACCTACAATAAATATAAATGTTTATTTAAAAATAAATTATTTTGGGCAGACTGCTGGGAGAAGTGCTATTTGTACATGGGTGTGTAGATAAAAATATCACGAGTTGCTAGTAAGGCAGAATCTAAATAAGTCATTATTGCGTATATCAGACAGCAAGAGCTTCGGTGAGGAATCATTGTTGAATATTTATTAAATTGTAATAAATAATTTGAGGTTACAGAAATTTTGTTCATTGACAATCAGCCATATAAATTTTAATCAGAATATGAAATTTACCATTTGGGATTAGAAGGAGTATGTAAGAGACCCAGGGGTAACACTGTCAGAAAATCTTAGACTAACCACTTCGCCATCTGTGACGTAGTACTACAGGTATACCGTAGTACTACACCACGAGTTAAGTTCATTCAGATAAACTGTGAGTGGTAAATTTGGACCTAGATATGAAAGAATGGGTCTGTGTGGTAAGTGTGCACCATATAAAAAAAATCTGCAGCATGCCGTGCATAATGAGAAAAAGACTGCGACCATGTTTTTGGCTTAAAACAGCAAATTTGCAGTGTATTTTTGTGTGGTTATATTCTCAGTTTCTTGGTCTCATTTAATAGAATGGAAGGTGTATTACAGAAATAGAGATGATTTGATTGGTTTCAGGACTGAAAATAGCTTGAAATTGAGCTCAAAGTAGCAGAAAAATTTGATTTTTGCCAATGTTCATGAGTAAACAGATCACATCACTCGTCCAATACATGTCCATCTGGTGGGTCTGATGTGTGTTCACGAATGTGCTGATGTTATTTATGCAGTTATTACAATATTGCGTAATAGTAAATCTATCTGTTTTGTGTGTGAATAAAAACTCAAAATAGAATTCATGTGTAAAGCCTGGGAACATAACTAATGAACAGAGGAAAAGTTATTTTAGTGCCAGGAATGCCTGCATTGTTTATTCTGGATCCTGTTTTGAATTTTGTGTGAAATTGGCCAAATTACCAATTTCTGATCACTTTATTGGGTAGTTGAAATAGTTGACTGGACGGTTTTGTGTACTCGTTCGATAAAATGGAAGATGTATTAGCGAAATAGCTAAGAATTTGGTCAACTGGAACAACGTAATTGGCCTAAAATAGGACTCGGTGGCAAAGTCGCCTATGCGTTAACATTGCTAACGCGATAATTTAATCAGTTTTCCATCAAATTTCATACTTTTCGTTTCATTATCTCTGGAAAAAGATTTTTTATCATTTCATGTGTGTGTGTGTGTGTGTGTAGAGGAGGGGGGATTCTTGGACACGGAGAGCAATTCTCAGATCATGGGTCTGGACAGTTAATTGGTTAAAAGAATGCAGTAGTCTTACTACACAACAGCAAGGAAAACATTTAAAACAAGATATATTAATTGAATTACTGCTATATACCTAACAGCTCTATTTAAAACAAATGAAATTGCATCTATGGAGAATGTACAGAGAAATCTCACTGCCTGAATAAACTCAAACATCTAAATTACTGGGAATGGCTAACAGTTATCAAATTTTACTTCCTGGAGTACAGATGAGGAAAAAATATATAATAATTTACAAATGGAAGATGCTGGGGAGTACTGGTTCCACATCTTCACTCTGAAATTACCTGTAACAAGAGTGGGTGACATGATATTTGGTGCAAGATGTCTACCCCAGTGAAAATGGATTGCAATAAGTACATTAAAAGGTAATCTTCCAGTGACCTCCCTTCAAATATAAGGAGAATTACAAATACATCCCTTACTACCTGGGTAATTTGATCAGATTTCTGAGCTTGTAGACATTGGTGCCTATGTCAGATTGCTGCAGCGAGTGCCAGCAGCCTGACTGATCAGGCTATCAACAAGATAACACCATTGTAAACCAAGACTACAGTGGTGATGAAAGAATGGTAGAAAATAATTTTGGCATTAGGAATGGATGGAGCAGGGTAGGATGACCAAGAGGGTGTATAAATCTGGAGTAGAAAAAATGGAGAGGTAGGAATCATCTCAGGAAGGGTTGGAGCAGGGATGTGAAGGGTTTAAGTAATAGGGCTGTGAGTATCCAGTAGGCTTGTTAGATCAGAGTGAGTGGAGACTAAAAAGTATTTTAAAGATTTGATGTGCTGTTGGAATGTGAGCAAGGTAACACAAAGGAATTTGAGGTAATCATTTAGCTGAACTTCTGTCCAGGAGGCGGGGATGCTACAGTTCAGATATTCATTTGTTTTAGGATGTCCATGCACTTCTGGCAAGATGGAAGTGAATGGGTGATGTGAATTTTTTTTCCGTCTACATTGGTGGGAGAGCCAGAGTGGTAAAAAAAAAAAAATAGTGGTAGACTGCCGGAATGGAATCGAGCAGTATACCACTACCACAAATTAAACATAAGATTGGACACTAAGCTTAGCACTTTTTTTATTATTTTTTTTTTTTTTACACTGGCCATTTCCCACTGAGGCAGGATGACCTGAAAAAGAAGCACTTTCATCATCATTCACACTTATCACTGTCTTGCCAGAGGCATGCAGATATGACAGTAGATGGCCCTCTAAACAGCAAATATTCCAAACTGAGAGATAATTGCAAATTGGTAACCATTCTCATCCAACCTTTTCCCCAGTTCAGTTCCTTTATTGACTCCTCACATCCACAGTAAACCTGCCCTACGTAAAGTATTTACATAGACATCCAATTGCAATAGATGAGTAATTTATCAATTTTGGGTTGCAGATGTCAAAAGTGAACTTGGTTCAAAGTAAACCTGGTGTTGGTGGTCAAGGAGCAACCATTGTCAAACTGGTCACTACTCAAGCAGGGGGTGCTGGAAAGCCTATTATGACCACTTCCACTACACAACCAGGACAGATTCTCAGCCTTCAAGCTAGTGCACAGACTACGGGCAAAGCAGTTGGACAAGGACAGAATATTGTCATAGCAAAACAGCAGGTAGAGTTTTTTGCATCAGAATTTAGTTTAATGATAAATAAAAATCCTGTATGTGGATATTCTTTATACAGTAGAGCCCCACTTATACAGCAGGTTAGGTTCCAGGCTACCCCCGGAGAGCGGACATCACTGGAAAGCAGAGCACCATTTTTTCCCGCTTATAAATGCATATAAATACCAGATAACAAGTTTACACTAATATTATATATAAGTTAGCAATAGAACTAAGCATTAAAAACAAAAAAAAAGTAAAATACACACAATACACTCATTATTTACCTTAAAATATTTGTAGTTTTAATGTAGGGTAAGAGGCGAGTAGTATTTATTGTAAGAAGTCAGGTGTGGGAGGTATGGTAGCCAGTCAGGCCACCCCACCCACATGTAATATACTATGACATTTAAAGCACCCCAGAATAATAAAATGCATATACAGTTCATTCATTACTTACCTTAAAATATTTGTAGTCTTAATGTAGGATGAGAAGTGAGTAAACGAGGTAAAACGAATAAACGAGAGAGACACAGACAGAAAGACAGACACAGACACGGAGGATGTAAACAAACAGACAAATGTGTCTGGTTGTGGTTGATACACTTTCATCTACACGTAACATCTCATATTTGTGTTAATTTATTCTATGTGGGGTATATTTATCATGTTTATATATTTTGTAGTGTCTTTATTATATAATTTAAAAAAAAATATCATAGGTGGATTAATGAAATTGTTTTTTTTTTTTTTTTTTTTTTTTTTTTTTTTTTTTTTTTTTTTTTTTCCCAACAAGTCGGTCGTCTCCCACCGAGGCAGGGTGACCCAAAAAAGAAAGAAAATCCCCAAAAAGAAAATACTTTCATCATCATTCAACACTTTCACCACACTCACACATTATCACTGCTTTTGCAGAGGTGCTCAGAAATACAACAGTTTAGAAGCATATACGTATAAAGATACACAACATATCCCTCCAAACTGCCAATATCCCAAACCCCTCCTTTAAAGTGTAGGCATTGTACTTCCCATTTCCAGGACTCAAGTCCGACTATATGAAAATAACCGGTTTCCCTGAATCCCTTCACTAAATATTACCCTGCTCACACTCCAACAGATCGTCAGGTCCAAGTATCATTCGTCTCCATTCATCCTATCTAACACGCTCATGCACGCTTGCTGGAAGTCCAAGCCCCTCGCCCACAAAACCTCCTTTACCCCCTCTTTCCAACCCTTTCGAGGACGACCCCTACCCCTCTTTCCTTCCCCTATAGATTTATATGCTTTCCATGTCATTCTACTTTGATCCATTCTCTCTAAATGACCAAACCACCTCACAACCCCTCTTCTGCCCTCTGACTAATGCTTTTATTAACTCCACACCTTCTCCTAATTTCCACACTCCGAATTTTCTGCATAATATTTACACCACACATTGCCCTTAGACAGGACATCTCCACTGCCTCCAACCGTCTCCTCGCCTGCTGCATTTACCACCCAAGCTTCACATCCATATAAGAGTGTTTGGTACTACTATACTTTCATACATTCCCTTCTTTGCCTCCATAGATAACGTTTTTTGACTCCACATATACCTCAACGCACCACTCACCTTTTTTCCCTCATCAATTCTATGATTAACCTCATCCTTCATAAATCCATCCGCCGACACGTCAACTCCCAAGTATCTGAAAACATTCACTTCTTCCATACTCCTCCTCCCCAATTTGATATCCAATTTTTCTTTATCTAAATCATTTGATACCCTCATCACCTTACTCTTTTCTATGTTCACTTTCAACTTTCTACCCCTACACACATTCCCAAACTCATCCACTAACCTTTGCAATTTTTCTTTAGAATCAATAAACTTATTCCTCTATAATTTTTACAATCTCTTTTGTCCCCTTTCCCTTTATATAAAGGGACTATACATGCTCTCTGCCAATCCCTAGGTACCTTCCCCTCGTTCATACATTTATTAAACAAAAGTACCAACCACTCCAACACTATATCCCCCCCTGCTTTTAACATTTCTGTCATGATCCCATCAGTTCCAGCTGCTTTAACCCCTTTCATTCTACGTAATGCCTCACGTACCTCCACCACACTTACATTCTGCTTTTCTTCACTCCTAAAAGATGGTATACCTCCCTGGCCAGTGCATGAAATTACCGCCTCCCTTTCTTCCTCAACATTTAAAAGTTCCTCAAAATATTCTCGCCATCTACCTAATACCTCCCTCTCCCCATCTACTAACTCCCCTACTCTGTTTTTAACTGACAAATCCATACTTTCCCTAGGCTTTCTTAACTTGTTTAACTCCAAAAATTTTTCTTATTTTCATTAAAATTTCTTGACAGTGCCTCTCCCACTCTTTCATCTGCTCTCCTTTTGCACTCTCTCACCACTCTCTTCACCTTTCTTTTACTCTCCATATACTCTGCTCTTCTTATAACACTTCTGCTTTGTAAAAACCTCTCGTAAGCTACCTTTTTCTCTTTTATCACACCCTTTACTTCATCATTCCACCAATCACTCCTCTTTCCTCCTGCCCCCACCCTCCTATAACCACAAACTTCTGCCCCACATTCTAATACTGCATTTTTAAAACTATTCCAACCCTCTTCAACCCCCCCACTACTCATCTTTGCACTAGCCCACCTTTCTGCCAACAGTCGCTTATATCTCGCCTGAACTTCCTCCTCCCTTAGTTTATACACTTTCACCTCCCTCTTACTTGTTGTTGCCACCTTCCTCTTTTCCCATCTACCTCTTACTCTAACTGTAGCTACAACTAAATAATGATCTGATATATCAGTTGCCCCTCTATAAACATGTACATCCTGGAGCCTACCCATCAACCTTTTATCCACCAATACATAATCTAACAAACTACTTTCATTACGTGCTACATCATACCTTGTATATTTATTTATCCTCTTTTTCATAAAATATGTATTACTTATTACCAAATTTCTTTCTACACATAGCTCAATTAAAAGCTCCCCATTTACATTTACCCCTGGCACCCCAAATTTACCTACTACTCCCTCCATAACATTTTTACCCACTTTAGCATTGAAATCCCCAACCACCATTACTCTCACACTTGATTCAAAACTCCCCACGCATTCACTCAACATTTCCCAGAATCTCTCTCTCTCCTCTACAACAATGCGCCTCAGTAATCATTACTGTGTGTTATTTTTATTATAATATGGCTTCCTCAAGACTAATAAGACACTCTTAGTGATTTTAATGTGTACTTGCATGCCAGCAGTGTGTAAATTTATTTAGATATAAGTGTAATTATCAGAGTATATCTGTATAAAATATGAAATAACTTTAAAACACTAGAAATTTTGGAAAGTTTCCAGACATAATGGAGAGAGCGGTGCTCACGGAGCTCACAGAGAATGTAAACATACTGGGTAGGGTGCAGTGACAGTATTAGAAAGTCAGGTAGGGGGGGGGGCACCATATAGAGTTTTGGTCATAATTTACAATATCCGTATTAGCAAAACGCCATAAGTTGAAACACAGTAAAGCAAGGCCTTACTGTATAGATATTGTTGTGGGTTTCATTGTTAGTTTTACTATATTTGTAAAGATATGTTAAGTTCATTTTGGGCTTCATTTTGTATAGTGAGTAACGAGACAACTGTTTATTTATGGAAACTATTTCGTTAACTCTGATAGTTATCATTTGGCCACATGCACACTACAACTTGTCAATGTTTAGCAATTATATGTTCTTGTATTGTCTGTTTAGATGGTAAAAAATTAAAAGTTTGAAAAAGTTATTCGACATAATCTTAACCATTTTTCCTTTACAGAGTAGTACAGATTGACTATCACTAATCTAGCATCGTTGGGACCTGTAGGGTGCCAGATTAGTGATTTTGTCAGATTACAGAGTGGTTAGGTTAGAATATATTTAACCCAACAGTTAGTCACATCATGCCACCTTCAAAATACCCCCTAAATCAGTACAAGTTGGTCAACACTTTCACTGTCGCAATCCTTGCTCGCAAACTTGCTCCCAATGTCAAAGAATTAAAAAAAAAAAGAATTATTATATCTTATGAAATTATAGAGAATATTTTTTCCAAAGGTAATGAAACTAAAAGTATGAAGTTTGATGGAAACTTATGGAATTATGCTCTCACAAAGTTAGCTGCTTTGGTGATATTTATGCATTGGTGATTTTGCCCACTTTACACCCTATTTTTGGCCAGTTCCATTGTTGCAGTTGACCAGACTCGTAGCTATTTCACTAGTATCCTTCTATTCTGTTGATTGAGTGAAAGAATGCCCATTTACCTGTTTCAGCTACCCAATAAAGTGATCATAAATTGGTAATTTGGCCAATATCACACAAATTTCAGGAGATGCCAATTTCAAAATAATGTCCAGAATAAACAGTGCAGGCATTCCTGGCACTAAAATAGCATTTTCTCTGTTCATTAGTTTCGTCTCCAGCCCCTCTTGTATTATGCTTGCTTTCCATTCTGAATTTTTATTCACACAAAAAATAGATTTGCTGTTATGCAGACTACAGCATTATTATAATTGTGTAAATAATCTCAACCCATTTGTGACCACATATTAGAGTGGTCATTTTGACATGTATTGGACGTGTGACACGATTTGTTTACTCTTGAACAACGGCAAAAAATCAAACATTTCCAGTAATTTGAGCCCAATTTTGAAGTACTGTCTCCTGAAAACCATCAGAATCGTCTCTACTTCTGTAAGATATCTTCCATTCTATCAAATGAGACCAAGAAACAGAGAATACAACCACAAAACGCATACAAAAATACTTCGTAAATTCGCTGATTTGCATCAAAAACACAGTCGCCGTTTTTTCTCATTATGCACTGCGTGCTGCAGGATTTGTTTTATATAGTACACACTTACTACACAGACATATTCTCTCATATCTAGGCCCAAATTTACCACTCACAGCTCATCTGAGTGAGCTGAGCTCATGGCATCACACTAAGGGACTGACAGCGGCTTCAAAGCTGTGATACAGTGGGACCTACAGTGAAAGGGTTAATAAAGTTAACCAATTTGATTTACACAAGAAAGTTCATCACTGCCACTTCCAAAGTGAAGAGCTGGAATTTACAACTAAACATCTTCACTTATACATAGCCTAAACCACTTCATTAGAAGTTGATTTAGTTTTGAATGTTTTCCTCCCTTCATTGTTTTCCTTTTACACATCTTTCTTTGAATCACTGTTAGCAAAGAAACCAAGTAATTTTTCTTTGTCATAAACTGTGGAAAAGCCACTGCTGTATAATTCACACAAGTTTCTCACAGACACACTGCTGTCGAGTTTTTCAGAAGTTCAACCATATCTTTTATGGACAATGTATGGTGTTTGCACTTTGCACAATGAGAAGCATTTCCTTTATTCATTGGAACCATGGCTGGGGTTAAAGTGAGCAGGTTATAACGATAAATGGAGAAAAACAAATTGGAATGGCTAGCCCATGTTCATGAGTGACATCAACAGTTGTTCATGCAGCACATTCAGCATGTTGGCGAGGCAACTTATGCTAGCTGAAATTAGTGCCATATCAGTGATAGAACTAGATTAGTGAAGGCTGACCTGTACTTGATATTTTCTTTCTAGGTCTTATTACTTTTTTGAAAGAGCTTCATTTTTTCACCTCTGTAGTCGTCTCCACCAAGAAAGTGACTAAAAAAAAAAAAATAAAGCATTCACTTAATTCTCTTAATAAAATTACTATTTTTTTTATTCTATTCTGTTGAAAGTTTACTGAACCTTTTTCTTCAGCTTGGAACTGCAACAGTTGGAGGAAAGCAAACAATAGTGATAACCAAACCAGGAGCAGGTGGAACCAGTGGTGTGCGACCACAAACCTCTCAAATCATTGTAGTTACAACAGCATCTGCTATCCGAACTTTACAAACAGGCACTACCAGCACCATCACTACACAAGCTGGGGGACAAACAGCTCAGGTATAAAGCCTATCCTTAATTTTTTTTTTATCTCGATGGCCTTCTGCCAAAGTAGGGTTACCCAAAGAAGGAAACACATTTGTAATTCATAAAATTGTTGTAATTTTAAAATTCAGTTAAAGGTTAGTACAGTAAATTTATTAATATACTTACATGGTGTTAAAGGTATCAGCTGGTGGTGGTGTGAAAATGATTGTGGTATCATCAGGGGGTGTTGGTGGCACAACTACCACACAAGCTGTCACCAAGCCCATGACCATTACATTGGCAGGCCAGGCTGGTGCCAACACAAAGACAGTAACAATAGCTGCCAAATCTGGCACACCTAGTACCACAACTCTCCTCAACACTGGGTCAGGACAGATTATTGCTGTACCTGCCCAGGGTCTGCTGCAATCAGGGCAACAGGTAAGCACAATTTCACAAGTTACTTGTTTCTATCATGTAAAAATCTAAAAGGTTTAATGCAATCTATAAGGTAACAAAGATATTGCATGGGACTGTACATAGAAGTGACTGTTCCAACTAAGAAAGGAATAGAGATAGACAATATGAAGAGTTGTCTGGTATTATGAAGAAGATAGAGATAAAGTCCACTAGAAATGTGAATGCTGAAGTCATTTGTTAAAGTGAAGGGTTAACTATGTAAGTGGGCTTCTTAAGCATTTGCTGAAGCACATGAAAGGGATGTTTTGGTCAGTGAGATAAGGGTGCAGAAACACAATGTATGGTGTATAGATGTGAGAGTAAATAATTCATAGGGAGTGAGACTAGGTAAGAGACTTGCTTTATTGCACAGAACTTCTGAAATATCATATGATGCAGTAGAACTGTTAGGAATTAAAGCAGAGAAAAAAATGGTAATTATCTTTATGTACAAACCACTGTCAGTAGTGGCAGAAGAATTTACTGATAAGGAAGATAGATAACTACCTTGAGAGCCTTGAAAATGCTACACCAAATATCCTCTTTGGCAGTCTGAGCCTTCCAAACATTAAATGGAAAATGGCAGACAACAGCTTTGTTTTTTTTTTTGTTTTTTTTTTTTTTTTCAACAAGTCGGCCGTCTCCCACCGAGGCAGCTTTGTATTAGACTTAATATCTGGAAGCACATAGCCTAACAGATATGTACCAAAGAGCTATTGAGACTGAAAAGTTTACTTTGAACCGAAGGATAAAATCTATCCAAAATGATGATATAATAGACTTCATATTCAGGAACAAAGGAGCTAAACAGATGCATAATAATTCAAATGTAATATCCTCAATTCATAAGCTCGTTGATGTTTAAACAAGCATAAATATGTAAGTAGAGAGCCTAAGAATTAACCGTGACTGGATTTTCAGTAAATCTAACTTGAACATTCCAAAAATGAATTGGGACAAGATGGGAAAAAAAAAAAGACAGACATCCTTTGATGAACTGTCCTGAGCACTATTAGCCCACACCAGTGCATGGAAAAGCTGAATACAGAAGCATACAAGGTCTGTTTAAAATATAAACCACTAGATCACTGCTAAGTGTATCCTGTTAACTAGCATCAATTGATGAGAAGCTATTCTTGTTTCTAAATACTGTCTCAGCTGTGACAGCAGGAAGGTGGTTGTGGCAGCAAGAGTGCAGTAGGAAAGTAGTGGCAGCAAGAGTGCAGTAGGAAAGTAGTGGTGGCAAGAGTGTGGCAGTGGCAGCAGAAGCAGCAGCAGCAATAGGTGGATGGTGGTGGTGGTGGTAGCAGCATCAGCGGCAGGGAGGGGGAGGATAGTGACAGTGGCAGGCACACCACCCTGAGATCTCGAATACTGTCCAAGATTTTGCTGCTACAGGAGTTGTTCATTTATCACTTGCATCACCTCAGAATGTCAGAGGTACTACACCAGACAAATCTGACCAAAGGCCAGGCTGTGAGAGTAGTAAAGCTCAAAACCCATCAAAGGAAATCTCAGGTAAAGGCATGTAATTTTTGTGTAATGATATTATGTCTTCATAGGTAGTAAGTTGGTAGACAGTAACCACCCAGGTAAGTACTATTGGCCCACCAAGTGAGTGTAAAAGGGAAACCTGTGTTTGTTTTACATGATGATAGGATTGCTGGTGTATTTTTTTGTCTCATAAAAATGCAAGGCTTCAGGTTCATCTTCCTGCTTCTTCTTACAGTTAGGTCACACTACACATGCATGTACAAGCATATATATACACACACCCCTCTCGGTTTTCTTCTGTTTCCTTACTAGTTTTTTCTTTATTTCCTCTTATCTCAATGGGGAAGTGGAACAGAATTCTTCCTCCGTAAGCCATGCGTGTCGTAAGTGGCGACTAAAATGCCAGGAGCCAGGGGCTAGTATCCCCTTCTGTATACATTACTAAAGTTTAAAAGAGAAACTTTTGTTTTTCTTTTTGGGCCACCCTGCTTCGGTGGGATACAGTTGGTTTGTTGAAAGAATATTTAGATCCAAAGCCTTCTGTAATTGCAACTAAATACACTTTTATCGGAATTCTCCTCAGTGGAGGTTCCTTGATGCTGGTGAGGGGCTTTTGATCCAAAGGATTGGACTTGTACAGTCTTTGTATGGATTAAACTTGATTGCTTCTTATTCCCCAAGTGCTGCTCTGATTTGTCCGTTGTGTGAAAAGCACACAATCCTCCTTTCATAAAATAAAAATTTACACAAAAGTAAATGTGCAAATTTTTATTTTGAGATTTTAACCCCCACACATATTCTATGAGAGGAGGATTGTGTGGGTTTTCTCCCACAGCATTCATAACCATCGTTTCATTAACTACTTAGAAGTGATGCTGACTAGATTGGAGTTGCAGACAACATAAACTTGAAGATCTTACCAGCCAAGAATTTCAGAGCTGTCATTACCTCCAGCACCAACATCAAAAAGCTCACCAGAAATAAGTGTAATAGCACCTTCGACATCAAAGCATGCGAAGTGTAATAGCACCTTTGACATCAGTGCATGTGAAGACTGCATTGAGATGTGAGAGAAACCACTTGAGACCTAGCCATGAGGATCAATGAGGATTATACCTAATGCATTTACAATATGTAGTAACTTGTCATACACAGAAACACTAACCGGTATCTTTATGAAGTGAGAAGAGTCTCAACTCTTCATAAAAGAGGACCTATACAGGCAATGTTGTTTGGAATCTATTATAATGTCTTAGCAATACAATTGTACAAAGTGATAGTAGCTTTAACATCTTGAATGCTGTAGTCCAATTCACCTTGTAGTATATGGCTGTCAGGTGAACTGACACATCATGCTACATATTGCCTAGCTTCAATGAAATATTCTCAGATTTTATGTACTCTGTAGTGGATTGAAGAAGTTAGTGAAAAATCTTCTTAATAAAGGTTCTCCACACATTGCATGTGTATTCTTTGTATGGACTTAGCAAGACACCATAGCTACAACTGCATAAAAAATGTCTTAATATATTAATGTACTTTTACTTTTTATAATAGTTGATTATTATTGCTGAGCAGTTTATTCCTTTCCATTTTCTTATGTATACTTGTTTTTCCAGGCACTAACAATTGGAGGAAAACCTGTAACAGTACAAGTAACTACAGCTGGAGGCCAAAAAACCGTAACTTTGGTAACATCTCAGTCTAGTGGAAGCGCAACCACAACAAATACTACAAGCACCTCAAGCACAGCAGCAACAAGCCAACCTTCAACATCAATAGGAGGTGCAGGGGATGGGCCAGTGACCTCAGATGCAGCTCTTGCTGCCTTGGCAGCAGAAGCAGGTCTTATAATGCCAACTATAGAAGGGGAACAAAATAATGAACAAGCTTCTGCACCTATTGGCACCCAGCAGGAGCACTCTGAAAACCATACAATACAAAGTACTGGAGAATCTGTTACGGGAACTATTCCATCTGTAGGAGAAAGTATAAAGCAATCTCTGGGAGAAGGAAATAATGCCAGTGTAACAGGAGAGGACTCTTTACTTAAGAGACAAGACAGTAATAGTGTTACAAGTGAAGGTGGTGAAAGTGCAATAAAACAGGAACCAATGGATACAGAAGGAATGACTGAATCCAATAATCCCTGTCAAACAGTAGCATCTGGAGTTGGAGAAGCAGGAGACACTACAGACCCCTTAGCTACTTTAGCTTCAGCAGCCATTAATTCCTCTCTAGGTACAGCTCCAGTTATCAAGACAGAAGACTCTACCACTGCACTTGCTAATGGCATTAACCAGGAAACTGTAAGTGTTTTTAGCATACCTTTTTGTATACAGCAACCATCCAAGGAGGTGCTAACATCCAGTCATACAAATGAGAAAAAAAGATGCTTATTGTTTTGCACCATGGCAGAATTGCTGACTTTTTCTTTGTCTCCCAGCAGATTATGACAGTAGGCTTATCTTTTTAACGGCTACATACATTCATTATACACTTATATGTACTCATATTTACTTTGTGATTTTCTTAATAACCTAGTTCTTAAACCTCTAAGGTTATCCTTTCCCTGTAGCCATGCATGTCAGAGGAGGCAATACAATGCCAGGAACAAGAAGCTGGTTACCCCTTTTTTCTGCACATAATATAGGGTATACACAATTGATTTAGATAGTGCCATGTGATATAATTTATCAGGAAGCTTCCTGGTTCTTAAATGGCAATGTGTGTGTTTCAGGCCCCAGAGTCATGTTTGCAACCTCTTGTCATGCTGAAATGGTAATGCTTCATTGGTAGAAAATATTTACACTGCATAATATTTGCACTGTCATTACTCCCTGAGTTGTACACTTAAGCATGACAATCCCTTACATTGAAAAATGTATTTTAATGATATAAAATAATTTTTTTTTTGGGGGGGGGGGATTTTGTATCATCATATTATGAATATGTTGCAATATGGTTTATTCTACAGTGATGTGAGGGAACTTCAGGAGGATTTAGACAAACTCAATACCTGGTCAGCAAAGTGGCAGATGTAGTTCAATGTAGATAAATTCAAGGTTCTGAAGCTCGGGAGTGTCCATAACCCTAGCACTTATAAGTTAAATAATGTAGAACTTAGCCACACAGATTGCGAAAAGGACTTGAGGATTATGGTGAGCAGCAACCTTAAACCAAGACAGCAGTGCCTAAGCATATGTAATAAGGCAAATAGATTATTGGGATTTATATCAAGAAGTGTAAGCAACAGAAGTCCAGAAGTTATACTGCAGCTTTATACATCATTAGTAAGGCCTCACCTAGATTATGCAGCTCATTTCTGGTCTCCATATTACAGAATGGACATAAATTCGTTAGAAAACATTCAGCGTAGAATGACTAAATTAATGCATAGCATTAGAAATCTTCCCTATGAAGAAAGATTGAAGACTCTTAAATTACATTCACTTGTTAGACGAAGAATGAGGGGAGACATGATCGAAGTGTATAAGTGGAAGATGGGTATTAATAAAGGTGATATAGATAAGGTCTTGAGGATCTCTCTCCAAGAGAGAACCTGCAGCAATGGATTTAAATTAGACAAGTTTAGATTTAGAAAGGACATAGGAAAGTATTGGTTTAGAAATAGGGTAGTTGATGAGTGGAACAGTCTACCTAGTTGGGTTATTGAGGCTAGGTCTTTGGGCAATGTGGCAGATGTTGCAGGTGTATGGTGTAGGAGGTAAGTTGCTGAAAGCAGTGAAGAGTTTTTACGAGGATAGTGAGGCTCAAGTTAGAGTATGTAGGAAAGAGGGAAATTATTTCCCAGTAAAAGTAGGCCTTAGACAAGGATGTGTGATGTCACCGTGGTTGTTTAATATATTTATAGATGGGGTTGTAAGAGAAGTAAATGCGAGGGTCTTGGCAAGAGGCGTGGAGTTATAGGATAAAGAATCACACATAAAGTGGGAGTTGTCACAGTTGCTCTTTGCTGATGACACTGTGCTCTTGGGAGATTCTGAAGAGAAGTTGCAGAGGTTGGTGGATGAATTTGGTAGTGTATGTAAAAGAAGAAAATTAAAAGTGAATACAGGAAAGAGTAAGGTTATGAGGATAACAAAAAGATTAGGTGATGAAAGATTGGATATCAGATTGGAGGGAGAGAGTATGGAGGAGGTGAATGTATTCAGATATTTGGGAGTGGACATGTCAGCGGATGGGTCTATGAAAGATGAGGTGAATCATAGAATTAACGAGGGGAAAAGGGTGAGCGGTGCACTTAGGAGTCTGTGGAGACAAAGAACTTTGTCCTTGGAGGCAAAGAGGGGAATGCATGAGAGTATAGTTTTACCAATGCTCTTATATGGGTGTGAAGCATGGGTGATGAATGTTGCAGTGAGGAGAAGACTGGAGGCAGTGGAGATGTCATGTCTGAGGGCAATGTGTGTGTGAATATAATGCAGAGAATTGGTAGTTTGGAAGTTAGGAGGAGGTGCGGGATTACCAAAGCTGTTGTCCAGAGGGCTGAGGAAGGGTTGTTGAGGTGGTTCGGACATGTAGAGAGAATGGAGCAAAACAGAATGACTTCAAGAGTGTATCAGTCTATAGTGGAAGGAAGGCGGGGTAGGGGTCGGCCTAGGAAAGGTTGGAGGGAGGGGGTAAAGGAGGTTGTGTGCACGAGGGGCTTGGACTTCCAGCGGGCATGCGTGAGCGTGTTTGATAGGAGTGAATGGAGACGAATGGTTTTTAATACTCGACGTGCTGTTGGAGTGTGAGCAAAGTAACATTTATGAAGGGATTCAGGGAAACCAGCAGGCTGGACTTGAGTCCTGGAGATGGGAAGTACAGTGCCTGCACTCTGAAGGAGGGGTGTTAATGTTGCACTTTAAAAACTGTAGTGTAAAGCACCCTTCTGGCAAGACAGTGATGGAGTGAATGATGGTGAAAGTTTTTCTTTTTCGGGCCACCCTGCCTTGGTGGGAATCGGCCAGTGTGATAATAAAAAAAATAATATATATATATTAATATATATATATATATATATATATATATATATATATATATATATATATATATATATATATATATGATATATATATATATTATATATATATATATATATATATATATATATATATATATATATATATATATATATATATATATATATATATACATATATATACACACACACACAACCCTGCCTCGGTGGGAGACGGCCGACTTGTTGAAAAAAAAAAAACAAATATATATATATATATATATATATATATATATTTTATATATATATATATATTAATATATATATATATTATATATTATATATATATATATATATATATATATAAATATTATAATATATATTATATATTATCACACACACCTATACACACCTACCATCCGACTTACGACCTGCTCGACTTACGACCACTTGACTTACGACCACTTGACTTACGACCGTGTTTTTTATGCCAAATTTCTGAGAAATAAAGAATTATTTGTGTTGTACACAGTGTTTATCCTAAACCTTACAGTATAAAATACAATACTATCAACATAAAAAGTAAAGTAAAACATGAAATACCAAAATAAAACAATAAAATAAAGTCTTTACAAAAATGTTTTGTTGATATTCCGTAGTAAAATTCGACTTACGACCATTTCGACTTACGACTGGTTTCTCAGAACCGAACTTGGTCGTAAGTCGGATGGTAGGTGTATATATATGTATATATATATATATAAGGAAGACGGGGTAGGGGTCATCCTCGAGAAGGTTGGAGGGAGGGGGTAAAGGAAGTGTTGTGGGCGAGGGGTTTTGACTTCCAGCAAGAGTGCGTGAGCATGTTAGATAAGAGTGAATGGAGACAAATGGTATTTGGGACCTGACAAGCTGTTGAAGTGTGAGCAGGGTAATATTTAGTGAAGGGATTCAGGGAAACCGGTTATTTTATATAACCAGACTTGAGTCCTGGAAATGGGAAGTACAGTGCCTGCACTCTAAAGGAGGGGTTTGGGATATTCGCAGTTTGGAGGGATATATTGTGTATTTTTATACGTATATACTTCTAAACTGTTGTATTCTGGGCACCTCTGCAAAAACAGTGATTATGTATGAGTGAGGTGAAAGTGTTGAATGATGGTGAAAGTATTTTCTTTTTGGGGATTTTCTTTCTTTTTGGGTCACCCTGCCTCGGTGGGAGATAGCTAACTTGTTAAAAAAAAAAAAAAAAGTATTTCTGCCAAGTGAGTGTAAAACGAAAACCTGTAATTGTTTTACATGATGGTAGGATTGCTGGTGTCTCTTCTGTCTCATAATCATGCAAGATTTTAGTATGTCTTGCTACTACTACTTTCACTTAGGTCACACTACACATGTATGTACAAGTATATATATATGCACCCCTCTAGGTTTTCTTCTGTTTTCTTACTACCTCTTTTTCTTGTTTATTTGCTCTTACCTCCATGGGGAAGTGGAACAGAGTTCTTTCTCTGTGAACCATGTGTGTCGTAAGAGATAACTAAAATGCTGGGATCAAGGAGCTAGTAACCTCTTCTCCTGTATATATTACTAAATGTAAAAGGAGAAACTTTCGTTTTTCCTTTTGAGCCACCCCACCTCAGTGGGATATGGCCAGTGCATTGAAAGAAAGAAAAAATATATATGTATACACATATCTTTTCTTCACTACTTCCAGATGGGTCATTCATAGGGGATCTAACTAAAATCATTGTATCCTTCGGGAATACCAAAGTCTGTTTCACTTGACAAGGCAAGCTCAACATTTGTAAATTGGAATGGTAGACAATTTTTTAAGATATGTAAAGTGAAATAAAAATGTTAGGAGGATTATGTATTATTTGTTTGTGCACTGTTTTTATCTGATTCATTGACCAACAGGAAATGACTTTCTGGTTAATGCATAGTTCATTTTCAAAAGTAAGTTACTGAAATGGCCGTAAATATTAATTTGTAAATTTTAATGAAACAAACATTAAAATAACTCTTCATTTTTTCTTTCAGACTGAAGTCAAGAAGCCAGAAACGGAATGGTATGATGTGGGTATAATTCGTGGAACAGTATGTACAGTACAAGCCTATTACTTACCCACTGAAGCTGAGGCTCATAAAAATGAAACCTACACTGATGCAGAAGGAGAAGTAACAGAGCGGAAAGCAAGTGGAATTGAAGTGAAATTACAACCTGGTACTGCATATAAGTTTAGAGTAGCTGGTATAAATGCATGTGGACGAGGACCATGGAGTGAAGTGTCTGCATTCAAGACCTGTTTGCCTGGTTACCCAGGAGCACCATCAGCCATTAAAATATCAAAATCTGCTGAAGGGGCACATTTGTCATGGGAACCACCTCAAAATGCTGCTGGTGACATTGTTGAGTACTCTGTTTACTTGGCTATCAAAAATGCAGCCACACAACAGGTAAGAAAAAATTTAAGTAATACAGTACTGAATTCTGTACTGTTGCACTATTAAAGTGTTACCTACATACATTTTGCAACTGGTAGAGTACCATATAACTGCAAGACAGTAAGGTTTCTTGTTTGTCTTTGGATAAGAGTGAATACAAGGTTTCAAAACAAGTTCTTACACTGTAGATGTAAATTACATAGAATTTTGCTTAAATAGTAACAAAAATGAATTTTAAATAGATGTGGGAAAACGAGTACGTTATTGCATTTATCATTTTGCATAAAGTACGAGTAAAAGCAAATCAAGATGGGCTCCTGATTCTGTTGTGCATGGAAAAATATACATTGTAAAATTAGAAAATAATATGTAAAGGAAGAAAATTAAAAGTGAACATAGAATAGAACAGGTGATTGAGGGTAACAAATGAGTTAGTTTTGAAAAACTGGATATCATATTGGAAGGAGGGAGTGTTGGAGAAGTGAGTGTGTTGAGATATTTGGGAGTGGACTTGTTAGTGGATGGGTATATGAAAGACAAGGGAAACCATAGAAATGATAATGAGAAAAAGTAGGCGGTGCATTGAGGCATCTGTGGAGACAAAGAACATTATCCATGGAAGCAAAGAGGGAAATGTATGAGGTATAGTGATACCAACATTTATATAGGTGTGAAGCATGGGTTATGAATGCTGCAGTAAGGAGGAGGCTGGAGGCAGTGGAGATATCAATATTATGCAGAGAATTCATAGCATGGAGATTAGGAGGAGCTGTGGGGATACTAAAAGTATTATCTAGAGGGCTGAGGAGGGGTTATTGAGGTGGTTTGGACATTTAAAGAGATGGAGCAAAACGGGATGACTTGGAGGGTGTATAAATCTGTAGTGGAGGGAAGGCAGGGTAGAGGTCACCCTAGGAAAGGTTGGAGGGGGAGGAGGTAAAGGAGGTTTTGTGTACTATGGAAGACAAATGGTTTTTGGGACTTGCTGTACTGTTGGAGTTTGAGCAAGGTAACATTTCTGAAGGGATTCAGGGAAACTGGCAGGCCAGACTTGGGTCCTGGAAATGGGAAATACAGTGCCTACACTCTGAAGGAAGGGTATTAATGTTGCAGTTTTATAACTGCAGTGTAAGCACACCTCTGGCAAGACAGTGATGGAGTGAATGATGAACGTTTTTCTTTTTCGGGCCACCCTGCCTTGGTGGGAAACGGCCATGTGTTAATAAAAAATAATAATATATGAAAGAGGCTTAGAAGAGGTGCTAGTGAGAATGGTAAAGTTTTTTTGTTTACTTATGGATATAGACAGGATGCATTAATGTTAATAAATTTTAAGTGGTGTGTTTAAAATAGATAACAATCTAATATTTGAATCTTTGGAAAGTGGATGAGAAAACAGGACCCGTTTTCTTGTCCCTTTAAATGGACCCACTTTCTCGTGGATGGTACTCCATAATTGTCAGCGACTTCCATATCACTGGCAATATGATTATGTACATAAAATTACTTATAGCGGAATCTGACGGAATTTTTGATAATTGCCACTTTACTTTCGTTTAGGCTACTATTACAATGTCAACGTTTGTGGGATTTTTCTTTTGCTATTAATATTCAACCTTTCTGGCTATGGGTACTGGTATGCCTGGGGGCATTTCCTGTTCCCTTCTCTCTACCTCCCTTGCTCCCTCTCTCCAGTGAATACATCCTCTGGGATCGTGTTGGCTCGGACATCCTCTTTTTTTACTGCAACTTTGGAAGCTCCTGATGATGTGTTGATTGCAACACGAAAGGCCTAGAGCTATCATTCTAACCCCCCCCCCCTACCCACCTACCCACCCCTGTGGTTGTTTTGCATAATTGTCAGAGTACATATAAAATATACAATAATTTTAAATCACTTGAAATTTTTGGAAAGTTTCCAGACATAATAGAGATGTGATCACAATGTATACAAACTGGGTGGTGGGTGGTCACCATATTAGAAAGTCAGGTGGGGGGAGCTGCATAGCGAGTTTTGGTCATAATTTAAAATGTCTATTAGTGGAATGCTGTAAAGTGGGTCCCTAATGTACTACTGTGTTACAAAAAGTAAATCCTCATCAAAAAAAAAAAAAAAAATTGCATGATACTTAAATTAGCAATTTTAAATTTATTCCATTAAATATTTTCAGGACACTGGAAGTGGAGGAGCCCATCTTGCATTTATGCGTGTTTATTGTGGTGCCAGTAACCAGTGCACTGTTCTTAATGCTCAGTTGGCAGCAGCGCATATTGATACAACCAATAAACCGGCTATTATCTTCAGGATAGCAGCCAGAAATGACAAAGGATATGGACCAGCTACTCAAGTCAGGTGGCTTCAAGGTATGTTTATATATATTGACCAAGAAGGTGTGTAAATCTGCGGTGAGTAGTGGAAAGAGGAGTATGGAATATCCCAACAAGGTTTGGAGGGGGGGATGAAAGACTCGAGTGACTGAGAGTTGCGTATCCAGCTGGACTGTGTGAATGTGTTAGATCACAGCAAGTGAAGACAAAATAGCTTTTCAGATTTAACATGCTCCAAGTGTGACCAGATAACATTTATGAATATATTCAGGGAAATGGTTAGCTAAACAGTAGTTCTGTAAGTGGGAAGTTGTTTGTACTCTGGAAGATGGGTGAGGCTGTTGCAGTTCAGAGGGTCATTTGAATTATGTCAGTGCACTTTTGAATGAACTACTGAATAAGTGATGATGAATGTATGTTTCTTTGGGCCACTGTACCTGGGTGGGAAAACTGCTGCTGGGGAATGAAGGTTGAGAGAATGATACAGCAGCAGTGGAGTCATCATGTGGGTCATGCTTATACTGCTGTAACTTGAAGCTTAACCAACTGTATAAGCAAATGCATATAAAAGCCTGATAATATGTTTACAATATCATATTAAGCGAGCAATAGAGCCAGGCTTAAAAAATTCATAGAGTACACACATTACTTACCTTAAAATATTTTCATCCTTAGCTTATAATGAGTGTTGAATACAATGAAACCTCCTTATCTGCCGGTCCTGTATCTGCTGTATCAGTTATTTGCTGTTTACTGTGGCCTGAAAATTATCCTTAATTTTGCTTAATAATGGCCTCAAAGTGCAAAAGTAGTGATAGTGAAAGTTCTTCAAACCTTAGAGAAGCCTTGAAGTGCCTCAGCCCTCTGAATTATAACCTTGATGACACCACATGGCCTAGGTAGTAGGTTGGTAGACAGCAACTGCCCAGGGAGGTACTACCGTCCTGCCAAGTGAGTGTAAAATGGAAGCCTGTAATTGTTTTATATGATGGTAGGATTGTTGGTGTCCTTTTGTCTGTCTCATAAACATGCAAGATTTCAGGTACGTCTTGCTACTTCTACTTGTTGTTTGTCCGTCGATTCGACGAGGACCATCTAGTCATCCTGGGGTCAAAGTTGGTCGGTACGCAGATGACTTGTCAGGCCAATCCGCGCATGAAACGTTCTCTGGCAGTGTGGACAGGGAAGGGTGGTGGCATCGAGGGGTCTGATGGCTCTGGTCTTCCTCGCCTGCCTGCGCTGCTCATCTAGTGAGATTCTGCTTGCCTCGCAGGATGTTGCCCCTTTCTGGACAACTGCTCGCCAGTCATTCCTGTCCTGAGCTATCAGCTCCCACATGGTGTGGTTGATGTTGAAAGCTTTCAGAGCAGTCTTAAGGGTGTCCTTATAGCGCTTCTTTTGGCCTTCTTGAGAGCGTTTTCCATGCTGCAGTTCTCCAAACAAGAGTTTCTTTGGCAGCCGGTGGTCTACTTACACTTAGGTCACACTACACATACATGTACAAGCATATATATACATACATACCCCTCTGGGTTTTCTTCTATTTTCTTTCTAGTTCTTGTTCTTATTTATTTCGTCTTATCTCCATGGGGAAGTGGAACAGAATTCTTCCTCCGTAAGCCAAGCGTGTCGTAAGAGGTGACTAAAATGCCGGGAGCAAGGGGTTAGTAACCCCTTCTCCTGTATATATTACTAAATGTAAAAGGAGAAACTCTCTGGTCCACCCCACCTCGGTGGGATACGGCCGGTGTGTTGAAAGAAAGAAAAGACACCACATGGCCTTTTAATTTCTACACACCGAATTCTCTGCATGATATTCACACCAAATATTGCTCTCAGTTATGACATCTCCGCTGCTTCTAGCCACCTCCTTGCTGCAGAGTTCAAAACCCATGCCTCACACCCATATGAAAGTGGTAGTGGTACTATACCCTTGTACATTATCATTCTTTCTCTATAGATAACTTACTTTCCATGGATGACTCATCACCTTTTTCTCTTTTCACTATTCTGTGGTTTATTTCATCTTTCATAGACCTATCCACTGACAGGTCCATGCTTTATTTCCTCTCTACAATCTGATATTTAATAAAAAATTCAGTCCATCATTACCTAGACTTTTTGTTACCCTCATCACCTTCCTTTTATTTATATTCACTTGTGTGATAAAAGAGAAAAAGGTAGCTTATGAGAGGTTTTTACAAAGCAGAAGTGTTATAAGAAGAGCAGAGTATATGGAGAGTAAAAGAAAGGTGAAGAGAGTGGTGAGAGAGTGCAAAAGGAGAGCAGATGATAGAGTGGGAGAGGCACTGTCAAGAAATTTTAAATGAAAATGAGAAAAAATTTTGGAGTGAGTTAAACAAGTTAAGAAAACCTAGGGAAAGTATGGATTTGTCAGTTAAAAACAGAGTAGGGGAGTTAGTAGATGGGGAGAGGGAGGTATTAGGTAGATGGTGAGAATATTTTGAGGAACTTTTAAATGTTGAGGAAGAAAGGGAGGCGGTAATTTCATGCACTGGTCAGGGAGGTATACCATCTTTTAGGAGTGAAGAAGAGCAGAATGTAAGTGTGGTGGAGGTACGTGAGGCATTACGTAGAATGAAAGGGGGTAAAGCAGCTGGAACTGATGGGATCATGACAGAAATGTTAAAAGCAAGGGGGGATATAGTGTTGGAGTGCTTGGTACGTTTGTTTAAATGTATGAAAGAGGGGAAGGTACCTAGGGATTGGCGGAGAGCATGTATAATCTCTTTATATAAAGGGAAAGGGGACAAAAGAGATTGTAAAAATTATAGAGGAATAAGTTTACTGAGTATACCAGGAAAAGTATACGGTAGGGTTATAATTGAAAGAATTAGAGGTAAGACAGAATGTAGGATTGCAGATGAGCAGGGAGGCTTCAGAGTGGGTAGGGGATGTGTAGATCAAGTGTTTACATTGAAGCATATATGTGAACAGTATTTAGATAAAGGTAGGGAAGTTTTTATTACATTTATGGATTTAGAAAAGGCATATGATAGTGGATAGAGGAGCAATGTGGCAGATGTTCAAGTATATGGACTAGGTGGTAAGTTACTAAATGCTGTTAAGAGTTTTTATGAGGATAGTGAGGCTCAGGTTAGGGTGTGTAGAAGAGAGGGAGAATACTTCCCGGTAAAAGTAGGTCTTAGACAGGGATGTGTAATGTCACCTTGGTTGTTTAATATATTTATAGATGGGGTTGTAAAAGAAGTAAATGCTAGGGTGTTCAGGAGAGGGGTTGGATTAAATTATGGGGAATCAAATTCAAAATGGGAATTGACACAGTTACTTTTTGCTGATGATACTGTGCTTATGGGAGATTCTAAAGAAAAATTGCAAAGGTTAGTGGATGAGTTTCGAAATGTGTGTAAAGGTAGAAAGTTGAAAGTGAACATAGAAAAGAGTAAGGTGATGAGGGTATCAAATGATTTAGATAAAGAAAAATTTGATATCAAATTGGGGAGGAGGAGTATGGAAGAAGTGAATGTTTTCAGATATTGGGAGTTGACGTGTCGGCGGATGGATTTATGAAGGATGAGGTTAATCATAGAATTGATGAGGGAAAAAAGGTGAGTGGTGTGTTGAGGTATATGTGGAGTCAAAAAACGCTATCAATGGAGGCAAAGAAGGGAATGTATAAAAGTATAGTAGTACCAACACTCTTATATGGATGTGAAGCTTGGGTGGTAAATGCAGCAGCGAGGAGACGGTTGGAGGCAGTGGAGATGTCCTGTCTAAGGGCAATGTGTGGTGTAAATATTATGCAGAAAATTCGGAGTGTGGAAATTAGGAGAAGGTGTGGAGTTAATAAAAGCATTAGTCAGAGGGCAGAAGAGGGGTTGTTGAGGTGGTTTGGTCATTTAGAGAGAATGGATCAAAGTAGAATGACATGGAAAGCATATAAATCTATAGGGGAAGGAAGGAGGGGTAGGGGTCATCCTCAAAAGGGTTGGAGAGAGGGGGTAAAGGAGGTTTTGTGGGCGAGGGGCTTGGACTTCCAGCAAGCGTGCGTGAGCGTGTTAGATAGGAGTGAATGGAGACGAATGATACTTGGGACCTGACGATCTGTTGGAGTGTGAGCAGGGTAATATTTAGTGAAGGGATTCAGGGAAACCGGCTATTTTCATATAGTCAAACTTGAGTCCTGGAAATGGGAAGTACAATGCCTGCACTTTAAAGGAGGGGTTTGGGATATTGGCAGTTTGGAGGGATATGTTGTGTATCTTTATACGTATATGCTTCTAAACTGTTGTATTCTGAGCACCTCTGCAAAAACAGTGATAATGTGTGAGTGTTGTGAAAGTGTTGAATGATGATGAAAGTATTTTCTTTTTGGGGATTTTCTTTCTTTTTTGGGTCACCCTGCCTCGGTGGGAGACGACCGACTTGTTGAAAAAAAAAAAAAATTTCCTCTCATGTACCCTACCAAATTTATCCATCATACTTCCAACTTGTCTTCAGACTTCCCTAAATGAATTGTATCATTAGCAGAGAGCAATTGTCATAACTCCCACTTTGTATCTGATCCAACATCTTTTAATCTCACACCTCTTCACAAAACCCTAGCATTCACTTTTACAACCCCATCTATAAATATATTCAACCATGGTGACATCATGCATCCTTGTCTGAGTCCTACTTTCACTGGGAAAATAGTTCTCTTCATAAAAACTTTTAACTGCTTTTAGTAATTTGCTTCCTTTCATACATCTGCAACATCTGCATGGCTCCCAAATCCACTCTATCATATGCATTATCTAAGGACTGCTCACTTACTTGCTTCATTGTAAACATTTGTTCTACACATTTCCCTATCCTCTCTAAATTCTCCCTGTTCTGCAGTCCTTTCTTGCCCTAACTCTTTCAGTAATAATCTACCATAAACTTCACATGATAAGCTCAACAGGCTTTATCCTCAATATTTCTTACTTTCTCTCTTTCCATTTTCCCTGATAATCCTTTGATAGCTTTCTTTCCTGCAAATATTGAACAGATGCTGATTGACCACCTGCGTTTAAAGTGTCTTAGTCCCATCTGTCACAGCCACTTTATCCTTACATGTTCCCTACATCTACCTCAGGTGCCTTCTCACTCCTGTATAGTGTTAACCCTCCTTGCCCCATGCATGAAATTACTACCTCCCTTTCATCATAATCATTCAGTAATTTGGCAAAATGTCTCCATTTTTCCAGTAGTTCCAACTCCCCATCTAACATCTCCCTTCTTTTGTTTTAATAGCTTACTCCCTTTACTCTCAGGTTTCTTCATCTTACTGATATCTCTCCATTATAGCTTCTTATAATCAGCAAAATTTGCTGCTGATGATCAGCAGAAGTTGATTCTCCACATGTATTTTTGTTTTTTTGTGTATTGCACAGTAGATTTGTTAAACAGGATCATGTTTGCCAACAGTGAAATGGAAACCTGTTTAATGACTTGCATTCAGTCAGGATTGTTAGTGCTTTATTAGTGTCAACTGAGCATGCAAGATGGCAGGTAAATTGTATGAACGTTTTTGCATTCAGTGTAAACTTGGTTTTATTTTTACTGTGTGTCTTTAATGCTGTAATTCTTTTTAGGTCAGGCCAGCCTAGTCTAAAGCCAGTTCTTGGGGATAGGGTCATTTCTGCAACTATTGACAGCTACAGGTGATATCACCTATTTTGGTTGTGGTTAATGTTTGCATGCACTTTTGCCCTTTGGCCTGAAATTATGATAAGCTTCGTTTGATCATATTTTATTTGAAAGAACAGCACATACTGACCATGCAAGGTATTTGTAGGAAGGTGTAGGACACTGGCCGATATAACTACCCATCGATAATGGAGCAGGAAATTTTTTAAACCACTTGATTAGATAATTTTACCTCATGGTAGCTAGACCTATTAGGATCACCTAAAGATTGAGAGCTTTCAGAAGAGCAGCCAAAACATATGCCAAAGAATTTCACATGCTGGTTTGGTTATAAAAGTGCCATACTTGCTTGAAATAAAGAAAAAGATGTTACAGCAGGAAGGATTGTCTTTGATTTAAACACTGTGAAAGTAAAATTAATAATAATGAAACTGTGACAGATAAGACAAAATTAGACAAACAATAGGAAGGAATATTTATTGAAAGGGATGGGTGAGGGGGAAGGGGAATGGCCAACTACAAAGATACATTGTGACTTCATGAGCATAATCAAATAAGAAACATCAATGAGAAAGTGGCACTGTGTTAGTTACTCTGTGGTAGTGCTTTGTTGGGTGGTAGGTCAACCAGTTTACTACAAGTTTTCAAAATTACAAAACATGCTTGGTAGGCAAAAGTTTTAGTTATCCTTGTAAAGAATAGTGTGATTATTTCATTTATTCCAGTAGTTACTTAATTCACTGGCTAAACACCATTTAGTGTTCTCATTCACTTTTGGTGAAATTTTCAGTTTTTGTTTACCTCTTATTTCTACACATTTCAGACTCTGTAATGGGAGCTGCAGCAGGGGGCCCCAAGGTAGTAATGAAAAGACCTACCTCTGACAACAGGTCACCAGTTGCAGTAAAAAAATTCAAAGCAGATGGAGAACCAATGTTATAGTGTTAAACCTAACTACTACAATGGTTCCCAGTTAACAGTTGTATAGGCCCGGTGTTGGATAAGAGGTGATGTCTTTGGTCGATGATTTTCTCCTGAATGTCCGGTGCCAAAGATCGAGTTGAGATCACCCTGCATCCAGTTCCTAGGAGGGATGAAGACTCTAAACCACAAGTGTCCATCATATGCAAGAAAATTCTGTTAAATTTTGTTGGGTCTTGACTGTCACATACAGAGAAGGCATAGTTTTTATGATTTCGAATAAGGAGATTATCTTAAGTTTTCTCTCATGCACGAAGTAGTGTATGTTGACATGGTCTTAACCCACTTGTTTGCTCCCATTTTACCTGTAAGTGTTGCCACTTGATGATCTGAACCAAATATATATTACTAAGTGATAAATGGGTAGACATGCCCTGACTTCATTTAATTTATAAATAATACTTTAATGTACATTTAAGGTCCATCCAAACTGTTAATTTCATGTAAATGTTTGTGTCACAGCTTTGTACCACTAGCTAATATGCATATGAAAGGCATTCAGTGAATGCCCTAAACATTGTTTTTCAAAGTTAAGAACTTTGTATTCTAGTACACTCTCCTGTCTCCATGTGTCATGGAGAAGACCTTTACCTGAAAATTGACACCCTGCTCCTGGGAAAAGAATACTGTATATACATGAAGTCATTGAGGGGTTAAACCCCTAACCCCTAGTGTGTTGAGTTGTTGGAATATCCATGAGATGTCCCATTTCAGGGTGTGTTCACTAAAAGTAGAGTGTGACAGTTCTTAGATAATTCAACTTGGCCTTAGCAGGTTACAACAATGAGGCAGGCGATGCCATAACCCCTGTGTCACCAGTCGACGTCATCATTTCATCTCATCACAACTCATGCTTCATTTTTACATTGCAGGGCCTCCAAAAAAGTCTTCTTTTATAAAGTAGTTATCATTTAGGTAAAGCAGTCATTTATTTTCTCAACAGAACCGTGTGGATTACGAGTGTTTCGTATAATAACACTAATCCATCATTTTCCTGCATATCATAATCTTACTTTTGGAATACATCAGTTTCATTCTCGTCATACATATATCATTGTAGATACCAGTCCTTTATGAGTTACCTGAAATATAGAAAACTATCTTGATAGCTGTAATTTTTACTATAGCAAGTCATGTTTAAATGAAGGCAGGCTTTTTCCTTTTAAAATAAAGGGGGGGGGGAGGAAAAGAGTACAAACAAAGCAAGATCAAGAGTGAAGCTGCTGTAAGTTTAGACTAAATTTATCAGAGTGGGTTCATGTACCGTTTTCCACTTTCTTCCAGGCTTCTCCATGCCTCATGCTAGTGGACATGAGAGATCAACTTTGTAATAAGTTTTGAGAATACTCCACTGATGGAATATTTCTAGGATCTTTGTTTTAAAATGTTCTTTCCAGTATTTTTAATTTTATTACAGACAAAAATATATGTGAACTTATATAAAGCTCCTTTATATTATGTGGTGATAATCTCTTGTACATAAAATTACCCAGTGTTGTTTTTTTTTTCAATTCTGTGAGAGGAACATGAGGTTCAGTATGCAATTACAGCCTGGATGGGAAATGGCCACAGTACCTGACCAGATATTAACACAAAGAAATTGGTGTAAGATGGGTTTTAAGCAAAACTCAGTTATAAAACCCTTCTTCTACCACTATACACTTTGGTAACAATTTCTCTAGGCTGTAAGAAAAGATTAGTAGTGAATAATATTACAAAATCAATAATCTAGAGAAAGTGCTTTTAAATCTTTAATATTTTATTTTTCAAAGTAAGAATAAAATGAACTATTGAAATAGTGAAAATGGTGCATGTTTAATTTTATCCTTTGTTATTTTAAGTTACCATATTTGCTGTGACATGAAATTGGGGGTTACATCACTAAACCTCTTCAAGGGGGGCTCCTTGGCGTGGTGAAGAGGCTCTTGGTCTGAGGAATTAGACCTGTCGGTCTTCTTCCTCAGACCGAACCTAATTACCCCCCAATCTCCCCTCCCCTATCCTATCCTCCCCTTTTTCCTTTCCTCCTCCTCCTCCCCACCCCTCCCTTTTGCCCTTCCTCTTTTCGGCCTTTGGGATTTCTCCCACAGGCGTGCTAGTTCCTAGGTAGGGAAAGGATACCGGGGTCCATCCCATTCCATTAAGGTTCTTGGCGGTGGCATAGTTTGCCGTGGAATCTGGATCGCCTGGGGATGTCCCGATCCCTCTCCGGTATCCCGGAGTAGCTTTGGGTGTCTTTCGGGCGACGGGTGTATCTCTGGAAGCCACCTTTCGGATTCCGGGGGTGGTGGCCGAAGGAGGTATGCTTTGTGGTGGATATCCGGCCGCCCTCTTTTTTGTCCACCGAGGTAGCTCGGCAGATGTGAGGTTGCTATCCCGGATTGTTAGTTTACTAGCATGATGGGTACGGTATGGCATGGGTTCCATGCTGCATCTGTGCTACTTGCGGTGCTGAGGTCCTCTTGGGCGCGGAGGGAGATTTCTGGCCCTTTCATTCCTCCTAGGAACTATCCCTCCCCGGTCCCCCCTTTTTTTATTCTTTTTTTTATTTTTGTTTTATTTTCTTCTTTCTTTTTTTTTCTTAAAAACAAAAAGAAAGAAGTAACCTAACCATGGCAGCCCTAGTCCATGAACCTCCTACCCCCGGGCCCCTTCTTGATACCGCACCCCGTTCTGACCCCGCCTCGTCTTTGGACCACTCTTCAGACACTCCTCATGCCTCTGTACCTCTTGCCGGTGCTGTTTCCTCACCCGCTTCAGGTACTGAGGCCTCGACTGACTCCTTCGATTTATCGGACCTTCGCTCTCCTCTGACTATGCTTCCAGCCTCTCCCTCTACGGTGCGGCAATTTTCAAATCGCCGACCCGTTCCACGTCGGACCAACTCTGGTCCCACGCCTAAACGCCAACAACAATTACCTGCTGATGATACTTCTCCACCTTCTCGTTCTTCTCAGAAACGATCGACACGTCCTTCACTACCTTTCCACGCTCAGTTTCAGACTGAACAATGGACTAAATTCTTCACTTTACGACCGACTTCCTCTACTGCCTATCTTTCTGACCACAGTATTGGCAAGGCACTCCTACGCCATGTTGGTAAAGATATTTCTTTTCATACTCTTAAGAGCGGTACGCGCATCATCACCGTACAGAATGCTACCCAGGCTCATGAGCTCTCTCGTCTTTCCCATATCGATACTGTTCCTGTCACTCATGAAAAACATCATTCCCTCAATTCTTGTAGTGGTACCGTCATTCTGCACCATACCATAGTTCAACAAAATTTCCAGACATGTGGCACTGACATTCTTGAACAGCTGGAACTCCAAGATCTCCCAATCCTCAAGGTAGACACTTAGGTTCTTCCTGCCCGCGGGCGGAGACGATACCCTAGCAATGTGGCTCGTTTAACTTTTGACAGCCAAGAACTCCCATCCTCAGTTTATATAGCAGGACATCGGTTACAAGTCCAAAAGGTGATCCCTACACTGCAACAGTGTAGAAATTGCTGGCGATTTGGCCATCCAGCGAAATATTGCAGATCTATCGCCGAATGCCCAGTCTGTGGTGCCGATGACCATTCTCATACGATCTCCCTCTTGCCTTAACTGTCATGAGGCTCACCCTTCGTACTCTCACCGTTGTCAAGTCTATTTAAACGAGCGGGAAATCCGTTACCTCAAAGAGACAGAAGGTCTCCCTTATGCCATGGCAGTTTCTCATCTCCGCCTCCAAGGGAGACTCCCACGTGTTTCTTATTCCCGTCTTTCAAAACGTCCCCCCACTTCTGGTATCCCATCTTCTACACCCACCTCTGTGGTTACCTCTCCCATAGTCACTCCTGTATCTAATCCTTTTGCTGTCCTCGGCTCAGACGTCCCTACTTCAACGCCTCAGTCTGATCTCGCTTCTTCGTGTTCTCTCTCACAAGCCTCAGTAACGACGAGATCTCGTATGACACTTCCTCCCAATCGTCCCTCTACTTCTCAAAAGTCAAAAAAAGGTCTGTTAACACCTACTACCCATCTTCCACCTCCTCATTTTACCCTCCCTGTCTGTCCCTGGTTCTCCCCCTCTCACTGGCTCTGTTACAAGTGTAGAGGTTCACCCTCCTCCTCGTACTGTACCTTCCTCCCCTGTTCCCTCCCAGGTTTCTTCCTCTTCTGCCACCTCCCAGGTTTCTGCCTCTTCTATCCCCTTCCACGCTTCTCCAGTTCCCTCCACCCTTTCGACCCCCCCTACCTTGGTACAGTCCAATACAGTTCCAATCTTTACTCATCCTCCCCCTACCATTTCCAATATTGTCTCCCATACGACGTCTCTGAATTCCAAAACACTTGAAGCAATCTCAGAATATATTGCAGAGACCAAACCATCAATGGACACTGATCCACCCTCTGTTCCTTCTCTCTCCTCTCCTCCATCTGCACAACTTTCTTCACAGCGCACCGTTCCTTCGCTGCTTGAACGTTTTCCACTGCCTCAGCACGTGGACTTTTCTAACCCCTCTAGTCCGTAGGAACCCTTACCTGCGGATTTCAAGTATCTTTATCATTGCCAATCATGGCCTATTTACAGTGGAATATACGCGGCCTCAGGAGTAATCGGAGTGAGCTTCAGATGTTACTCTCCCAGTTTGCCCCTGTTGGTGTTTGCTTACAGGAACCAAAATTACACTCTGCTGTTATCTCTCCCATCTCAGGCTATAATTTATTGTATTCTTCAGATCCTTTTCCTGATGGGACCTTTAATGAAAGTGCCCTTCTTCTATGCACTGATATTCCGTACCATCAGCTATTTGTTCATACTTCGCTGCATTACACAGCAGCCCGTATCCACTTGCATAGGTGGTATACGCTCTATTCTTTATATCTCTCTCCTTCTCGGGCATTATCTATTCTGGATATTGCCTTTCTTGTTTCGTCATTACCGCCACCGATTCTGTTACTTGGTGATTTTAATGCCCACCATTTCCTCTGGGGGGGTCTCACTGTGATTCCCGTGGAATTCAGTTAGAGGCTTTTCTTGCAACCCACCCCCTCCATGTTTTAAATACAGGTACTCACACCCATTTTGATCCTCGGACTCATACTCTCTCTTGCATCGATCTCTCAGTCTGCTCCTCCTCCACCGCATTAGACTTCACTTGGTCTGTTCTCCCGGACTTACATGACAGCGATCATTTCCCAATCATCTTACTTCCCCTTCATATTCACCCCCTTTCTTCGCATCCCACGCTGGCAATTTGATCGGGCAAATTGAACCTTTACTAAACACCTAACTGTTTTTAAGAGGTCCTTCTTCGTCCTCCATCGATGAGCTTTTACAACCTCTTCTCGTCCTCCGTTTAAAAAACCCCAGCTTCTCATTCTATACCCCAAAACTTCGGGAGGCATTCTCAGAAAAAGCGTGCCTTGGTGGTCTCCTGCTTGTGCTCGTGCAGTACATTTGGGAAAAGCGCTGCATGGAGCAGGTACCGGAACAATGGAACCACAGAAGACTCCTTGATTTTAACAGAAGCGTGTGATCGCTCGCCGTGTCATCCGTGACGCTAAACGCACTTGCTGCGAGATTGTCTCTCCACCATTACCTCTGCTTCCCCCTACGAGTGCAGTCTGGAAAAAAGTACGAAAACTGAGTGGTAAATATTCTCCTGACCCGGCTCCTGTTTTTGCGGGTTTGCCGGTGTTGATATAGCAAACCCACTAGATGTTGCCAATGAAATTGGCAATCATCTGGTCCGTATTTCTCAGGACTCCACTATGCCCCTCATTTCTTTCCTCAAAGTCTGCCAGAGAGTTAGCACCCTTGGACTTTTCTTCTCTCAGAGAAAAACAGTATAATGTGCCTTTTACACTTCAAAATTGGAGGCAACACACTCAGCTTGCCGATCATCGCAGCTGGCCCGACGACATTCATATTCGTATGCTACAACATTTACATCAGTCCCGCCCTTGCAGTCCTAATTTCGCCTTACAATCTTATTTGGTCACAAGGAGTTTTTCCACAGCTGTTGGGAAAACCACCATTTTTTCTCCCTTTCCGCAAACCAGGCACTACGGGACATGAAACCTCCCACTATCATCCCATTGCTCTTACTAGTGCAGTTTGCAAAGTAATGGAACGCCTAGTAAATAGACGTTTAGTGTGGTATTTAGAGACACATAACAGTCTCTCCACTCGTCAATATGGCTTTCGTAAGGGACTTTCTACCATAGACCCCTTACTACGCTTGGATACGTATGTTCGTAATGCCTTTGCGAATAACCACTCAGTTACTGCCATATTTTTTGACCTTGAGAAGGCATATGACACAACTTGGAGGTATAATATTTTAGCCCAAGCCCACTTCTTAGGCCTTCGAGGCAATCTACCATCCTTCCTTAAGAACTTTTTAACTGACAGGCATTTCCGTGTTCGGGTTAATAATGTGCTCTCCCCAGACTTTATCCAAGCTGAAGGTGTCCCCCAGGGATGTGTTCTGAGCACAACACTTTTTCTCCTTGCTATTAATGATTTGGCCTCTAGTCTTCCATCAAATATTTGGTCATCACTCTATGTTGATGACTTCGCTATTGCCTGTGCAGGCGCTGACTGTCACCTCATTACAGTTTCTCTCCAACATGCAGTCGACCATGTTTCCAATTGGGCCACCACACGTGGGTTTAAATTTTCCAGCACTAAAACCCACCAAATTACTTTCACTAGACGCTCTGTCATCTCCGATCATCCTTTGTACCTCTATGGCTCCCGTATCCCTGAACGTGATACAGTCAAGTTTCTGGGCCTCCTCTTTGATCGT